AAACAGTTGTTTTATCAAACATTTTAATACAAACAACTAATCAAATCAGCTAGTCAAACCAGTTAATTGAATCAGCTAACAACTATCAGTTAATTGCCAAAACGCCTGAACTCTGATTCATAAAGTTCCAAAAATAGTAGGCAACCATAAATGATTTCCACACTTCGTCTTTCCATTATAAGTACAGTACTACTGTTGCCGAGTTGTCGCCTATTCAAATCCCTCCTTTTTCTCTTTTTCTTTTTAATTATTTTATTTTCTTATTTATGTTATATTATTAATATAAATGTTTTTCAAATTTCGTAAATGATCATTTTTTGGATATGAAATCTGATTATATCATAAAATTTAGGGATATAATTTAAATATTATATTCTAGATTTTTAGGGATATGATTTAGATATTATTGGCATAGGCTTAGCATGTAAATATCCATGTACTATCACTTTAACATGTGTCTGCGTAGTTTATAGTAAAATTCCTGGCTTGGCAGCGCCCCACACGTAGATCATCCACTACTAGAAAAGTACTGAATTGTCTTTGAAAAATTGTCTCGGAATCTATATAGTTACGAGACAATTAATTAAATAATCTCGGAAATTATCTTGAAATTTTTTCCGTGGCGGTTTGATCGTGACAATTTGGAAAGTCATGGAATGACGAGACAAATAGTCTCATTAGATTATTCGAGAGAATGTCGTGACAATAAATTACCTCGAAAATACTTGCGAACTTCGTTACTATATTTTGTCTTAAACCGCCGTGATAATTTCTAAAACTATATTTTGTTTCAAATATTTGTGATAATTTTTGTGACTATAGTTTGTCTTGAATGTCCGTGGAAATTTTCGAGACTATATTTTGTCTCGAATAGCCCTGAAAATTTTCGATACTATATTTTATCTTGAATGTTTGTAATAATTTTTTAGAATATATTTTGTCTCGAATGACCGTAATAATTTTTTAGACTATATTTTATCTTAAATATTTGTGATAATTTTCGACACTATGTGTTGTAGTATCGAACAATCATGATAATATATGAATAAAAATATTATATTAAATCTCAAAATAATTATAGCAATATCCGAAATTATACTTTGCACAATTTAATGCCGAAATAAATTAATTATTTTGATTAGTTTATTCCTCGTGATATTTCCACCAAAATTAGTGCATATCAATATTATAAATATTGTCTCAAATTAGGGCACATTAAATATTTGGAAAACAATTTTTTAATCTATATACATACACTGATCAATAAGAAAATTATATACAAATCCTCATAACATCACTTCTAAATAATTTACACATTTTTTTCAATATAATAAAATTAGCCGGTTATCATCACCTTCACCATTTGATTTGGGTAATTAATGCTAGTGCACTCGAACTTAATTACTTGGCAAAATCATGAACCTTTTCAGCCTGATTTTTCTTCATGGTTATGTCCTCTTCGCGAAGATCCTCCGATGCTGAGTAAATAACAACAACAGATAGCCACAAAGAATCATGAACATCGGAATATTACAATGTGAAATTCCAGTTTAGAACATTAGACACAAACAGATGGATCATATTACCAGTTTTCGATCTTTGCATCATTCGGATCAGTTTCGAGAATTCTCAGTAATTGTGAAGCAAACATCCACTAAGGTAGGGAGCATTCACCCTTATCTTGACACACATAGTAGTGAAAGAAAGCAAACAAATGCAAGAACACAAATTGATGAATATGTATCCTCAAATCAGCAATAATGCATTCAAATCCATTCAAGCTTTATCAGAATCGTTTACAAAAAAAAAAAAAAAAAAAGCCTATTTCCAACCAATTATGTTCTTAGAAGTATGAATTAAAAAAGTTACAATAAAATTATACAAATTCATATCCAAATAAGATAAACATGAATATCTAACTAATTAGGAAAGCTAATTGAATACTTCAAACAAATATTCGTAAAAATAGCACCCACCTAAACAAATTATCAAATTCAAATTGAAAGAGCATATCTAATTCACTTAAAAAAGAAATGCGGACATATAAATAAATTTATTGCTATTGCAGATGAAAATTAAGTAGGGTGAGTAAATATGAATGTGGGTGAGAGAAAGTGGAAGGGTGGAGTAAAATTTAAAAATAAATTAGTGGGAAAAATCCAGCTCACAATTATTATATTTTTATTTTTATATTTATTTGTGTTTTTATTATATTTTGGTTTTTTTTTTTTTATTATAGATAAATGGATTTAATTGATAATAATTTATAGTATTTATTGTTTCTAATAGTATATTATTAATATAAATAATTGACTATATTTTAAGTTAAATTTGATATATAAGTTTGATATTTATTCTTCAATTCGATTTTATATATATATTAAGTTATACATAAATATTATAAACTTTGTAAGCTTAATTATTTTAGTTAATTAAATAGAACATAATTTATTTTTAGGGTCAACTATTTTTTAAGTCGTAACTGGACCCCTTATCATTTTAGTTCCGTAAGTGAAGTCTGTCTAAACTAGTCCCATAAGTGAAAAATTTTCGTTGTTTTAGTTCTTCGGCGCTGGAGACGCCCGCGTGGCTCGCCGGAAGCCACATGTACGCCAGGTGTCCCGCCAGGTCAGTGACACCTCGCGGACACGTGAATTTTATTTTATTTTTTAATTTTTTTTTTTTCAATTGAATCAAATAAAAAAAATTAAAAAAGACAAATAAAATTAATAATAAATTTTAAAAAAATGAAAAAAATGAAATAAAAAATAATAAAATCCACGTGTCTGCCAAGTGTCGCTGACCTAGCAGACACGTAGCCTCCAGCGAGCAACGCGGACGTCTCCAACGCTGGAGGATTAAAACAAAGAAATTTTTTCACTTATAGGATTAATTTGCGACATGCTCCACTTACGGGACTAAAATATCTTTTGGGACCACATTCGGAATATAATTTGTGAGTCGTGTTGAGATTATTTATCGTTTAAAAAAAAATTATTTTGAGACAATTCAAATTGTCAAAATATTTTATGTAATTTATTTCAAGACAATTCAATTTTCAAAACATAGTGTGCGACTTGATTCGAGACAATTCATATTTTTGGAGTATTTTTCATGACTTATTTCGAGATAACTCATATTCTCAGAATATTTTTCATGACTTATATCGAGACAATTCAAACTCTCGGAATATTTGTGTAATTTATTTTGAGATAATTTTTACCCTCATAATTTATTTCGTGACTCATTTTTAGATAACATTTATTCTCGGATTATTTTTCTGACACATTTCGAGAAAATTCATACTCTTGAAATATTTCTCGTGACTTTTTCGAGATAATTATACCCTCAGAATTTATTTCGTGCCTCATTTTGAGATAACGTTTACTTTCGGATTATTTTTATGACACATTTTGAGACAATTTATACTCTCGAAATATTTTTCGCGACTTATTTCGAGATAATTCAACCCTCGGAATTATTTGCATAGCTTATTTCAGGATAATTTCTAACAATCCATATACTCATAATACTTTTTACAACTTATTTCGAGACAATTTAAACTTTCGAAATATATTTGTGACTTATTTCGAGATATTTTCTACTCTCAGTGGTATTTTGAGACAAATATGCAAGAATATATTGTCACAAAATAATTTTGGAGGTTATGATTGAGACAAATTGTCCCAATAATATCTTGGATCATTGTTGAGACGCTAATTTGTCTCGAATAAAGGTTCCGAGACACAAGATTTTCTCGGGGTTTTAATCCGAGACAATCATTCGAGACAAATTATCATTTTTGTGGTAGTGATCGTGATCTAACTGGATTACCAAATTCTTGTGTTTTTTCGTCTTTGTTATCTCATTTTGATTTATTGGGAATTTCCTTAACAATTTTAATTTTATAATTGAAACATTTATATATATAAATTGTTTTGAAAAAATATATATTTTTTTGCACAATTGATCCAGGCACTGGAAATGTGCACGTGACACTCGCTTAACACGACGGAGCACATATGTCCGTCAGGTAAGCACTACTTAGCGGGCACATGAATTTTTTTTTTTGCTTAATTTTTATTTTTTAAAAAAAACAATCAGCAAAAAAAATAAAAAAAATCACGTGTCCATCAACTGGTGCCTACTTGGCTGATACGTGTGCTCCAGCATACGGGTGTCACATGTAAATCTCCAACGCCGAAGAACCAATTGTACTAAAAAATTCACCGATAAGAAGATTTTTATACAAACTTCAATAACAAAACTAAAATAATGAATATGTCAATACTATAAAAACCCCATAGGATGTGTTTACTTGTTAAGTTTTACACCTGATTTTACTATTCAAATTTATTTTTTTTTCCTCCAAAAATATCAAATCAAACACCCAATTTTTATTTATTTTATTACACTGAAATTTACTTTTACATTCGTCACATCAATACATATTTATATCACATCAAACAACTATTTCAATTCAAAATTTTACTATTCAAAATCAAAACCCAAAACTAAAACCTCACAAGTAAAAACACTTTCCTATACTATTTAGGAATATATTTTCTTTTTCTTGTCGTTATCATATTGAAAGGTTTGTAAATGGACACATAATTGTTTCAGGTTAAAAAAGGTACATATAATTAAAGTCGTTGGTTTTTCCTTTACATAAAGATTTAATAGTAAAGCTGTTTTTTTTTTTTCTTCATCAATCAATAAAACAAGATTTATATATATATATATATATAATAAAAAATTGATTTGTTACATCAGAAAAGGAAGAAATATTTAATTTTTTTTTTTTTTAAAGTACACTAAAAATTGTCGACATATTTGTGTTGATTGATCCATTAAAAAAGAAGAAGTTATTATTAAAGTTAAAGTAAACATATACCGCCACTAATTTTTTTATATCAAAGTATTTTTTGGCTTCACCATTATTATGTAATATTTCTACTATTATGTGTATACATATATATATATATATATATATCTTCTTCCTCAATGAATATTCCTATTTATTTGGTGCATTGAAGTGATCATACAGAAAAAAAATAATAATAATAAAATTTTGATGGCTGCTGGGGAATATTATAATGGAAAAATTACATGGTTTGTGTTGCTGTCTTCAATTGTTGCAGCATTTGGTGGAATGATATTTGGCTATGCTTCGACTGTCACTGGTAAATCTTAATTTAATTAATTAATAATTTATAAATATATATTTATGTATAATTTAATATAAATTCCCTTTCTCTTAATTAATTTTAAAAAAATAGAAATAAATCAATTTGCAGAGACCATCACAATATATACATACATATTGGTTAGGCATGAAATAATTAATTCCTTCGTTATTTGAAATTTAGGGTTTGTTTGATTTGTGTTTAAATAGAAGTTATATATAATATTTTCTAAATAAAAAATTAATAAAAGATAATAGAGATTGCATATATAGTAAATATATTTAACAAAATATTAAAATGATAGTAGTAAATATTAAAATTTTGCATGCATGAAAAGCTATCAAATTATATAGTTGAGAATTAGGGTTTCAAGATTTGAAGCTAAACTTACAATTTTTTTTTTTTTTTTTGAGGCGGAGTTATGACGATGAAGCCATTTCTGAAGAAGTTCTTCCCGAGAATTTATGCGAACATGGAAGAAGATGTGACGACAAGCAACTACTGCAAATTCGATAGCCAAATTTTAACGTTGTTCGGATCATCCATCTTTATTTCGGGCTTAATTTCCTCGTTCTTGGCTTCTCCGGTGACTAAGGCGCTCGGGCGTAAGGCTTCACTCCTCATCGGAGGAGTTTCATTTATTATCGGCGCTTGCTTGGGTAGCGCGGCGTACAATTTGTACATGTTGATGATTGGACGTATTCTTCAAGGATTCGCCATTGGTTTTATTAATCAGGTATATTGTTTAAATAGTGCGCAAATTAAAAAATATTAGTATTTTATGTTTGTTAAATTACTTGTGAAAATATATTGATTACAATGTATTTTAAAAGATAAGGGTTAAATTATAAAGAAAATAAGAGTAATTGTAAATGAAAGATAAATAATATTTAGAAAATTGATATATTGATTATATACAAGAGAGTATAGTACATGTGAAAAATATTTTGTATAAATTTACCTTCCTTTAGTTAAAAAAAACATGATTTTAACATTTTTTTTATTGAATTATGACATAATTTATATTGATCATTCAATATTTTCACTAAAAAATGTGTTTATATGTATTTATTTTGTAATTTTTTATTTATTTAAGTAGTTGGTTGGACATGATATTTTGTTAAGATGAAATATATATATATACTCCCTCCGTCCCGAAACTAAATATCCGTTTGCTTTTTGTACGTAGTTTTTGAAATATTAGTATTATATTGGGATATAGTAGGAATAAAGTAAAAATGACTAAAATAACCTTATTAGTATGTGTGATATAAATGTAATGACATTTGTGTAATATATTGTAAGTTGTAAGGGTATTTGTAATGTTAGGTAGATAGTACAGTTACTAAAAAAGAAAATGAATACTTTGTTGTGGGACAGAATAAAATGGAAAAAAATAGATACTTTGTTATGGAATGAAGAGAGTATATGTTATGAATCTTACAAATTGTACATTATTTTTTTTTTATCTAAAAAATCTTGAAGTAAATAGATTATTTGTTTGTTTAGTGTTTTAAGTTGAAATATTATATATATACATATAAATTATAAGGAATTATATTGTTAATATAAAAAGTAATATTTTTTGTTATAGAATATATTTTTTATATATTGGGAATTGTATCACAAAACCAAAACTTATATTTTTTTATCTTTTTAGAACTATACATATTTGTACTTATTGTTTTTATTATTATTATTATTATTATTATTATTTTTTTTTTTTAGTTAATTGAATTGTAGGTAGTTTGGTTCATAATGTCACGGCTCTAAATTTCTTTTGCAAACTGAGTAAGCATACCATTAATTCATTTATGAGATAATATATAATTACATAATTTTGCACTTTTGTATCATATTTGGCTTTTTTAGGAGATGAGGATAATGAATAAGACAAGCAGCTACTTTTAATAATTTAATTTTAAATCAGCAGAGTCTATTAATCAAGTTGTTGAATATAACTCATCCGTCCCAAAACTATATACTTATTGTATTGGACACGAGATTTAAAAAATATTAATATTATATTGGTGGTTGATAAAAAATATGGATAAATGACTTTTAGTCCCTTGTGAACATATTGGTGTAAAAAACAGTGACAATGGTGTAATAATAATGAAAAAGTATGAATAATTTTATGGTGATATGATTATTTATGGAAACGAGACTATTGTTTTGAGACGGACAAAAATGGTAAACAAGACTATTATATTGAGATAGAAAGTATTAAAATTCATATACTATATATATATATATGAAGCTGTTGAATATAATATTTTAAATACAGGGGTTTATTTATTTATTTATTTTACTTTAGGGTTTTTTTATTTTTATTATTTATTTAAGACATGAAAAGTGCGATGATAATATAAAAAATAATACTTCCTTCGTCCAGTTAGAAAATATACATATTTTTATTTTGGGACGTCCAATTACAAAGTAAATATTTCATTAAAACTTCATTTTTTTTTTTTACAAATACCCTTACTTTACATTACATAATTACTTTTATAAAAAAAAAAAAAAAAAAACAAGAGCAAAAATATAATTACATTACTTTTAACTACCCACTATAATTAAAATACTATTATTATTTTTTATTTATTTTCAATTTATTTTATAAATTGTATGTAACATGATAACAAATGTTTTTTAGATGAGCTAGTATTACTTAAAATTAAAACACAGTGACCATAGGAAAACTCAAGGGTGTGTTAATTTGTTTTATGCATTGCTTTGAATTATTTATTTATTTATTTATTTTTTTAAGGTAAGGTACTGAAAATTGTAAAGATAATATAAAAATAATGAATATATATATATATTATATTTTTATTTTTTTTGAAAAAATGGGTCGAAGAATTTTGGGTAAAGAAACAAACCCTAGTTGTGATTGGTTTGTGTTTTAGAAACAGTAGATTTATTACTGTTAAACTGCGCTCATTTGTGTCCAACATAGAAATTAAAATAATAATAATAATATTTTATTAAAAAATAATAAAAATAAAAGAATAAATGTCGATATTTTTGAAATTTTAATTAGAAATTAAAAAATAAATGAAATAATATAATAAAAATAATAGTAATATTTATTGTAAAGACTTGTTGACATTAAAAATATTATTTTATTTATATATTTTTTTTACATAAATATCATTATAATATTATTATAAGGCATTAATATAAATAATTATTTAATTTTTTTTAAATTTGTATTATATTTTTATATAATAATTAATATTAAAAAATCATCACGCAAAAAAATAAATGTGACTTTTGGAGTCGGACGAACGTAGTATAAAAGTTAAAGGGTGATTTGTTTATTTTACCACAGTTAGTAAAAAAGTAAATTTAGCTAACAAACTAAAAATAAAAATAAATTTGAGCGGATGGATAAATTATTATTACTTTCGAGGACCTGTAATGTTATTTGGGTGATATAATTTCTATTGCTCCCTTGATCATAAGATAAATACTAGTCATTTTTGTTAGTCTAAATGCAAGATAGTATATCTTTATTCATTGTCTGTGTTTTGATATATATATATATATATATATTTAAGTAAAATAGTTATTTGAACACCGTGTTTTAGGGTGTGTTTATTTTTGGATTTGAATTTTTAAATAGTAAAAAGATGAATTTGAATAATTGTCTGACACGTGATATTTTAAATTTAAAATAAATTTGTACTCTAATATAAAAAATAAGAATAAAAATTATATGAGGTAATATATTATAAGAAAAAAAGAATTTGAATAGTAAAAACGTATTTAAAAGCCACATAATAACACCACCTTAAAATCTAAATATTAGTATATTTTATTTTTAGAGAAACTTATAAAACAATATAATTTAAAAATAAAATAAAAAATATAAAATCAATGAAATTGAATTGCATGGAGGGCGGTAACATAATCGAACAAACCCTAAAGACAAAAACTTTTTGCAGTCGGCTCCTCTCTACCTGTCGGAAATGGCGCCGCCGAAATACAGAGGAGCATTCAACTCCGGCTTCCAAATGTGCATCAACATCGGCGGCTTGTTGGCTTTCGTCGTCAACTATGCCACCGAGAAGATCCTCGCCGGCTGGGGCTGGCGCCTCTCGCTGGCCGCCGCCGCGGCGCCGGCCCTGATCCTCACCGCCGGCGGCCTATTCCTGCCGGAAACCCCCAACAGCCTCCTCCAGCGCGGCTGCGACCACGAAACCGCCAAAAAAATGCTCCAAAAAATCCGCGGCTCCGACGACGTCCAAGCCGAGCTCGACGACCTCGCCGCCGCCGGCCGCGCCTCCAAATCCCTGACCAAAAACCCGTTCCGTACAATCCTCGAACGTAAATACCGACCGCAGCTTGTCATGTCCGTCGCAATTCCGTTCTTCCAGCAGCTCAACGGGATCAACGCCGTCGCGTTCTACATCCCGCAGCTGTTCAGCGCCGTCGGCTCCGGCGTGAGCGACTCGCTCCTGGCGGGGGTGATTATCTCCCTCGTCGGGAGTCCGACGACCCTGATCTCGCTGGCGATGGTCGACCGGGTCGGGCGGCGGGCGCTGTTCCACGCCGGCGGGGTCCTGATGCTCGTGACGCACGTGGCGGTCGGAGCCGTGATGGCGGCTAAGCTCGGGGACGCCGGCGCGCTGAGCCGCGGGTACGGCGTGGCGGTGCTGGTCCTCGTGGCCGTCTACGTGGCGGGGTTCGGGATCTCGTGGGGCCCGCTGGCGTGGCTGGTGACCAGCGAGATATTCCCGTTGGAAGTCCGGTCGGCGGCGCAGAGCATCAGCGTGGCGACGGGGTTCGTGTTCACTTTCGCGTCGGCGCAGACGTTTCTGGCGATGCTCTGCCACATGAAGGCCGGAATATTCTTTTTTTTCGCGGCGTGGGTGGCGGTGATGACGGCGTTTGTGTACATGTTCTTGCCGGAGACGAAGGACGTGCCGATCGAGAAGATGGAGAGGATTTGGCGGGAGCACTGGTTCTGGCGGAGGTTTGTGGTTGAAGACGCCGGCGCCGCCGCCGCCGCCGGCGGTGGTGATGTTGAAGGGTTCTGATTCGTTGTCGGTGCGTGGGTTAATGGTGGTAATTAATTATGGATGTTTGATATTTTGCTTTAATTATTAATTTAATAATGTGGATAATTTGTTAATGAAGTGTGTCATTGGGTTTTAAGTTTGATCTCGTTGTATGCGGCGTTTGTATAATAAAAAAAATGTATAATTAATTTAGGCTATTTTCGACCATGAATTTTATTTATGTAGTTTTAACTTTAAAAATGCTATTGTTATAATACTTTTATTTTAACTCTCAATTTTTTTTTTACTCCAAACGAATATTTTTCAAATATTTTATTTTATATCTTATTTTAAGCCACTTTTTATATCTACAATTAATATTTCATCCGTCCCATAACAAAGTATCTATTTTTCCATTTTAGTTCCTCTTAACAAAGTATTCATTTTCTTTTTTAGTAACTGTACTTTTTATCTAACATTACAAATATCCTTACAACTTACAATATATTACACAAATGTCATTACCTTTATATCACATATACTAATAAATTAGATTATTTTAGTTACTTCCACTTTATTCATACTATATTCCAATATAATACTAATATTTTTAAAACTACGTGTAAAAAGAAAATAAATACTTAATTTCAGGACTAAAGGAGTATTATTTTTTAAAAATATTAAAAAATAAAAAATAAATCAAAGAGTTAATATAAAAAAAAAATTAAAAGAAATTTACACTAATACAAAAAAATGACATTGCTACAGTGCTTTTTTGGTATTATACTGTAGCTAACACCATAAATGGTGTTAGAAATGATGCTTGATTGGAGAAACAAAACTAGATTTATGTAGTTGTATTGGAGATTGGAGAGTTTTATTTTTGCACCTGGATAATGTAAAAATAATTAATGGATAATATACTTCTTTCGATTCAATTCAAATATTTGTTTTAGATTTTGTAGTAAATTAAAAAATAATAGTTATTTATTGGTCAGTAAAAATATATACAAATTTTGACAATTTTATTATTTAACTTTATGTATGGTTAATGTTATATTTTTAATTTAAATAAAAATTAAAAATATTTTAGTATTAGTATATAATTAGTTTTATTAAAATAAGAAATAAAAATATATAATTTTGAATAAAATATACAAAAAATAAAAGATATAATAATTTCGGGCAGAGAAAGCATTAATTTTTTTTTTTTTTTTTTTGTTTTTCAAACATGTTGAAAAATTTTGTATAAAAAGACTCACCCAATATAGTTCTTGTAGATCGTACTTAACTTTTTTCGTAATAAATTTCATATTTCTAATGGTAACACACTGTATTTCTATGGGTCGCAGAAATAGAGTATGTTTATACTTGGAACAAAAAAATTTGATTGAAAAATAAGTATTTTTTTATTGTGGAAATTTATATATATATATAAAATTATAAAATATAAAACTGATCAATTATTTATTAATTTAATTATTTTATTAGATAAAATTGTTTTAATATATTAATTTTCTATTTATATAAAAAAAAATTAAGTTCATATTTAAATACTATATAGAGTATATATTATAATTTAAATATTAATAAAAAATAATTCCAAACAGAGAAAAATCCGCGAATTCCCATAGGCACCCTAAATCGTCGAGAGGTATTTCGAGTTATTTGATGACACGGAAAAAAATCAGGGAAAACGGCTGAATAATTCGCGAAGACCAATGGATAAAATGATTTAGGAAAAAAAATCTATCTTGAGCGAAATCCGACCTCCAAAACCTCCGATTTCCATCCAAAACGTCTGCTCTAATTCCACAATGGCGTCTCCGATGGTTTGATTAATTTTGATAGAAAGAAAATAGAAAAGAAGAAATGCTGGGCAACTCGATCTGATTCAGAAATGGCGTCCGATCGACCTTGATGAAATTTAGGGTTTGGATTCATCGCACAATTAGGAATTAGGATGGATAGGATCGAGAATGGAGCGATGCGCGATCATGCTGCACCAAATTCACCATTTTCCGACAGGCACAAGGGCTCTGTTTTCAGCTGCAATTTTGTCCTCGATCGCGTTGGAGAGGTTGTTCTCACGCACAATTCGCACGGTTTGTCTTGGAGATTGGTTGACTCTTTCCCTAATGTAAGTAATTCCTTTTGAATCCATTCAAAGTGATTATTCAATATGTAGCCTCGTAGTTGTTTTTCTTAATTAGGGCTAATTGGATCCCCTTTTTGTTATTGAGATATTCTCTAAATTTTAGGTTATGGAAAGTTAACGAGTTTTTCTTTCTGGTTTGTGAAATTAGTTGAGATGGAAATAGTTTCTATAATCTGTCCCTTTATTGAAGAAATTTTAGCTTTGGACTCGTTTAGATTGTATTCTGCTTCTTAAACTTCATTGCATTATGAAAGTGATCGTTTGCACATTGAAAAATGTCAGAATTTAATTAGTTTCATGTGTCTGAGTGTAGTATGAAAATTAAGGAATCATAAGTTTGTAACTGCTTTTGCAAAGTTAACAGGATAAAGTAAACCATTTGCTTTAAGTTTGTTCGGTTTTTGCCTTTTGGGCTTGTTAGATGCATTTAGAGTTCAATGATAGAGATGATATTGTGTGTATTCTCTTTAGGTTTTAATGAACTTTGATATTTAGACAAGTTATATGGGGATTCGAATTCTTACATTTGATTTGGAGAAGAATGTTCATCCAAACTAAAATGCCTTTTCTAGAATTTTACTTCGATTTGTTCGATTTGAGGTACTAGATTTAAGTTAAGTTCATTCGATGGAATGGATGTAATGCAAATGTGAGTGTGAAAGGAAGAAAGAAAGAAAAAACAATGGGACAGGCTCCTCACCTATGCATAGAATTTATGATTAGCGAAGATTGTAATAGTTTCGGATATCATCTCTCACCTTTGCATAAATTTCAAACTATATTAGTCGATTAGAATGTAAATCCCCAACAATAATCAGCACCTTATTGAAGTTTGGATATGTTGAATATGATACATTGTTTATCATATGTTCAATCATTTTCGCAAGTCGTATACACTCGCCTACATAGATATTAGCTCTGGAATTTTCATTGCTGCCGTATCAGGGAGAAGAAAGGGTGCATTGCTTGGGATTGAAACTTGTAGCAAATAGTGATGCGGAGGTCAATTTTTCCGACATCTCTGCTGTTAACTTCATTGGATGGGGTTTGATACACGAGTCTTCTATTGGCAGTGGCGATCGGTCTCTTTTAGCACATTCTTATGAGGTCATACACTTCAACTCAGTTTACCTCCAAAACCCGTAATGTTTTGTTGTACGACTTATGATTTTTTGAACCAGTGTTTGTAATTTTCTTCTGTAGATGTATCGGTTTACAGTGCATGCTGTCGGGAAATCAAAGAGCCAATCATCCCTTTGGATCCCATCAGTATACACTTTCGGTCATAAGGACTTGGAGACTTGCAAGACTTGGGTTAATCGGATTAATTCTGCTCTCAGTGAAGGAGCTGAACGGCCCAAGAACCTTCTGGTATGTTCTAGAAGTTCACTGCATCATGACTTAATGCGAGAATGATGGTTTGCAGAAGAGTTGTCTTTTGTCGATTTCTCATTTTCTCTTTCGGCTTAACTTTGTCATTATTTAGGTTTTTGTTCACCCAAAGAGTGGGAAAGGACACGGATGCAAAGTATGGGAATCGGTTGCTCCGTTGTTTACTCAGTCCAAAGTCAATACGAAGGTAAATTTGTTTAGTATTTGAATATAGAAAATTCGGAATCGGTTTCACATATTTCTACCGACAGGTAATAGTAACGGAGAGGGCTGGACATGCTCGTGATACATTGACTTCGATTACAAATAGGGATCTTGCATCGTACGATGGCGTCATAGCTGTAGTAAGTTGTATCCTTTTGCATCTTAAGGTTCTTGCTATAAATGCCGATTCTCTTTTTCCCTGTGTTTATGATTGTTTTGTTAATTTTGTTTTACAAGGGCGGCGATGGATTCTTCAGTGAAATTCTTAATGGTATTCTCTTGTCGAGGCATAAAGCTCCGTACCCGCCGGCTCCTGAGAATCCGATGCACTCGGTTGAACGTGACAAAAATGCTTCACCTAAGGATGGTGAGAGAAGCAATCTGGAATCTCAGAATCATAATGAAGATGAATCTCCACTTCTCACGGGCTCTGAGAACATTGATCCAAAATCTCCTATTTCTGGTATGTTCATGGATGATTGTGGATTTTAGTCGAAGTTTCTACCTACATTGTGTTTCTGCTTCGTATTTAATTATTTCGCTTTTGTTTAATGCAGAAGAAGGTCTCGAGTTTTCTTTCCCAAATGAGAAGTTTCGATTTGGCATTATCCCAGCCGGATCTACCGATGCAATTGCAATTTGGTATCTTCACCATTTCCATCTTTGAACCATTCTTGCCATGGCTGTGTATATATTTTTGTTGGCGTAACTTCTTACACTTATAAATTTTTTACAGTACGACCGGAGCTCGAGACCCAGTAACGTCAGCTTTGCATATCATCCTTGGGAAAAAGGTGCAGCTTGATATCGCTCAACTTGTACGATGGAGAAAGAAACGAGGATCGAAAGAAGAATCCTCTGTACGCTATGCAGCCTCTTTTGCTGGGTATTTTTATGCCTATAGTCAATGAGCTCATGATTTACATTATTCATTTGGCGTCGAAACCCTGTTGAATAAAATTGTGAAGATTTTGTGCTGTCTTTTAAAATTTTCCACGACAATCGTCTGTAGCCAGTTATGTTTTATTCTCTTTTTCGTGGAAACTTGTCTTATTTTTTGTTGTTTGCTTTTATCATCGATCTCAACGTATTTCTCAGGTATGGTTTCTATGGAGATGTCATTACAGAAAGTGAGAAGTATCGTTGGATGGGACCTAAGCGATACGACTATGCCGGGACGAAGGTTTTCCTTAAACACAAGTACGCAATTAGTTGCCTTCATTAGTAGATTGATTGGAATAGATCTTTCGGAAGTTGTCCACATATTTTTTTATCTTTTTAAAAAGAGTTCGTTTTCGTTTTTGTTTTCTTTAACATACAATCAAGGTCGTACGAGGCAGAGGTGAATTATCTGGAATCCGAATCGATGGGTCAAAGTAGCTCGGGCCTTGACATCGATGAGCAGATAACCAGCAGATGGTGCCTTCCAAGAAAACCCGATCGTGTGAGCTGTCGAGCTAACTGTGAGGTGTGTAGTGCAAAGTCCGACAGGACAGCAGCGGTTGGAACCCCAAGCACGGCGGGGAATTTGCAAGGACGGAAATGGTCTAGGACAAAAGGGCGTTTCCTGAGCGTCGGCGCTGCCGTAATATCTTGCCGGAATGAAAAGGCGCCCGATGGCCTTGTCGCCGATGCTCATCTCTCCGACGGGTACTTGCACTTGATATTAGTTAAAGACTGCCCTCATCCATTTTATTTATGGTAATACCTCTCTATCCTTGTGATTTATAAATAGATTTGTATTCGACATCGACGTCAATCTCGTGGGTGCTTCTAAACTTTTTCTCATTATCTCGATGCAATTGCCCGTGCAGGCACCTTATTCAGCTCGCGAGGAGAGGCGGGGACCCCCTCGACTTCAACTTTGTCGAACACCATAAGGTCGTATCGCTGTTTTCGAATATTTATCCCTCCTTTTATGCATATTGATCGATACTTAAATATGTATGTGTATATATATATATATATATATATGGCTGCAAATCCTGTGCTAATTCGGCCAAGTCAGCATGGTAATGATTTGACCGAATTAACATATGCTATAGTAGTGATACAGTGGTGACTAACATATGTTTATACATATTTCAGCATATATCGTATTATAAATAGCATATGCGAAGTTATAATATAATATATGTTGTATTATAAATATATTGAGATAGGTATAAATATATATTGGTTAGCATATGTTGATCCGGTCAAATCAGTACTATGTTGACTTGATTAAATTAGTAGTTGATCTATGCCCTATATATATGTATTGCTTGTTGCTAGAGCGGTTAAACGAATCGAGTAGCTTGCAAGCCAAGTTTGACTCGGCTCGTATAGAGATAAACGAGCCGAGCTCGGGCTCGAAAATTATTCTTTTTTATAAACGAGCCAAACTTGAGCTCGGCTTGCGAGTAGCTCTGTTGAGCTCGTTATAGTATATATAATTTTTATATAAAAATTTATATTTATTAATAAAATTTGAATATTTTATTATAAAAAAATATGAATAAAATTTAATATATTTAATTTATATATTAAAAATTATATAGAATATGTATAAAATTTATGCGGAGCTCGAGTTCGAGTCGAGTTCAAGCTCGAATTTGAGCCAAGCTTGAGCTCGAGCCACTATTTTAGTTCGAATTCTTAACGAGGCGAGCTTATACCGTTAACAAGTTCGAGTCGAGCTTGCTCGGCTTGTTTAACAGCTCTACTTGTTGCGCAGACACCTGCGTTCACATTCATGTCGATTGGAGAGGAAGGCGTGTGGAATGTGGATGGCGAGCTTTTCCGAGCCCATCGGCTATCGGCGCAAGTTTTCCGTGGCCTCGTCAGTGTGTTCGCAACGGGTCCCCAGGAGTAGTAGCAAAACAGCTCGATCCGACAATGTAGTCGTAAACATACGATTCGGGAACTAACTGTACGTAATTCGATTCTCCTCTTACATGTATTTTATGGCCGGGTTCGAAACAGGTAATAAATGTGGTTGTTGTTGTGGCCGAAAATCGTCGATCTTGTCGCCGCCCCGGAGACGGCCGGCGAACTACAAATGCGTAAGCTTTTAATTACACCTGTTTATAGTATGTGCCGTGGAATGTTGAACAGCTGATCTTGCAAATTTGTTCGACGGATTTCCTGTTTTATATGTATTTGTCGTATGTAATATGTATGTATTTTTAGTCTGGAAGAAATTTTAGTAGCTTGTTCTTAAATATTGGGCCGATTTTCTGAAGCCCAGATTGGGCCCAATAAAACCCAATTTTCACGTGCGTTTTGTTTGTTTGGAATCTGATTTTGCCAGTAGTCAGATTTTATTCCACAGGTCTTTTCTTAAAAAAATAAATAAAATCTTTTATTATTATTCGTAATTGGGTAGCATTACATTGAATATTAATGGGGTGGGGGTGGGAATTGTGACAGGGGGGCCCGTGGCTGCCTAAGGCACGACGACTTAGACTGAGTCAATTAATTAATACTAACAGTCTCTAACATCGACATCTCCGAATTGGATATACACACAAATGTTGCTATCGCTGATCGCTCTGTAATATTCCTTCCTTGCTTGTTTCACTTTGTTACACAATTTTTTATTTTTCTAATTTTATTAATTTGTTATCAATTGTTATTTCCGTGTGTATATTATATATTATAATATTTTATAAATTAACACTATATAATGGTACAAATTTGAAGGTTGTTGGTGTGTTTCTTCCATTTTCTTTGATTTTTTTTTTCGTTTTTTACTAAATAATTGTTGTGGTTTTAAAAAATATACAATTTTTTTTATCAAAAAACATTACATCTAGTCACTATTTAGGCATTAATACAAAAACAAACTAAATACAATAAAAATATACTAAACTTTTATAAATAATATATATATATATAAAGAGCCATGGGTTTGCATTTTTTTTAATGACGTGGAACCCGCAGAGCTATCCAAAAGTGAGTACTGGGTAAATTTCCAGCCGAACGTAATACCCTGCAAATTAGGCCCTCGAAAAATTCATGAGGGTCTTGATTTATTTGTATTATATATTGTTGTTTGAATATAATTTTTTTTTTTGAAATATTTATATAGGTGTCTTCCATGCTTTATTATTTTTGACATTTGATTAGGTTTTTTTTCTTTGTTACTTTTTTTTTTTATTTTTTATTATATTGTTTTATCATTTTCAGTAAAAATTTAGTAATTCTTTTATAATAGTATAAAATTTAATTATTATTTTATTTAAAATAATAAAAAAAGTAACAAACCTGTAATATAAAATACACTGTTGGGACTGTCCGCTTTGGGTCTCATACCAGTAGAGTTTACTTGGAACTTATAAGAATGTATAATTTTATTCACCATTTCCAACATGGGACTTGGTTTGCACCCCAACAATTTATTTTTCCTAATTTCTGCACCAACTCCAAATTGGCTAATTTTTGCTGGCATATAAAGTTTTTTTTTTTTTTCTTATCAAAATATCAAATTAAATATTTATTTTTATTTTTATATAACATAAACAACTATTAACATTCAAAATATTTTATCAATATTTATTTATATGACATTAAAAATAAAAATTATAATTTAAAATCCAAATCTAATTACCAAATAAATCTTAATATATATGTATTAGTAATTTAATAAAATATAATCAAAATCTTAATACTACTATAAATTATTAAATGTTAGGTATGTTCAAATAAAATTGAATTAAGTTAGTATAATAGCTAAAAGAAATAGGATTAATTTTATGGGTTTGGAAGAATAGTTCGCGAGCCAAGTTTGATCCATTAGCAGCTCGACTAGAGCTTGAGTTTGAAAATTATTTTATCTATTAACAAACTGAGCTCGAGCTCGACTTTGGGGTAGCTCAATTGAGCTCAATAAAATTTAATATACTAATATAAATAATTATTATGATTAATACTTTCTCCATCCTTCAAATCTATGTTCACTTTTCTTTTTAGTTGTCATTGAAAAATATTCTTGTTTTCTTTTTAAATAAAAAATTATTATATTTTTATACTGTATTTTTTATTATAAAAGGAAAAAATAACCATTATTACTCACTTTTATTAAAACTTGTATCCGGTCAAATGAACACACATTTGCATGATGGAGGAAGTATAAATTAATATTTAAATTATATTATTATTAATTTTATAATTTAATTTAATGCATATTTATATTATTATATCTATTAATTATCAAATTAATATACATCAAAATTTTCTAAACCAAAATCAAATCTACAAACCTGATACTCCCTCCGTACCATGTAATATGAGCTCATTATTGTAGGCACTGGAATTTAAGTAAAATATAATTAGTAAGTAATTAAGAAGTATGTTAGTGAAAATAATTATTGTATAGTAAAAATAGTTATAGATTAAGATTGAGATAACTAAATAGTTTAATTAAGATTAAAAAAGTTATAAAATTTAAAATGCGATTAAAGTGTATAATTATATTTTCAAAAGAAAGAAAAAAATAATTTTATAGAAGAGACGAAAATAAAAAATATGAATAAATTATGTGGAGACGGAGGAAGTAAAATACAAAAATTCAACTCTATCATAAATTTCAAAGGAGGAGGATCAAATGTTGAATTAAAAAATTTAACACCATATTTTAATTCAGCCCTTAATCATGGTATTAAATAAATAATTATTAATTATATCATGTAATGGTATTAAATACTTAATTAATTGTATAATCACATTAAATAATTAATTATTAATTATATCAGCCCCTAGGGGTGTGTTTTTTTTTAAATTGGATTTTAAATATATTATTCATTCCATTTTTTTTCTAAAAAAATATCATCAAACACCTATTTTTTATTTTTTATATTATACTAAAAATCACTTTTACGTTCAAATCATCAACATCTGTTTATATCACATCGTACAACTATTTAAATTGAAAATTTTTACTATTCAAATCCCAATTCAAAATCTATACCCCAAACAAACACTCTTCTCTAATAGAATCAAAATTTACATGATCTCTCTAACACTCCGAAATTTGAAACATGAATACGACGATAAAATACAATAAATAAATAAATAAATAAATAAATACTTTACCCTAATGGAGGGAGTAATAAATAGTAAGTTCGCTCATATTTTTCTATTTTTATTTGTAATATTTTATTAATAAATATAATTTACTATATTTAAAAAAACATTATTAATTAAAATTATATTTCAGGAAAATATTTAAATGTAATATACCAGAAAACATCCAAAGATATTCAAAATATAATAATATAATCCAAACAAACTATTCGTCACTAAAAAATTAACTTCGAGTGGTCCCCAATATGTTTACTTTTGACCACGGCATTGCCACGTCAGCCAAATAGTTGAAAAATTCTATTCATACAACGCAGAAATAAATAAATATATTTGGGTGTATTAGTTTAAAGGATTTTGATAAAATTCTAATGTTGATTTAATTTTTTTTTTTACGAATATCAAATTAAATATTTATTTTTTATTTTTAATATTATTTTAAAAAATAATTTTAAATTTAAAATATTATATCAATATTTATTTATTTCAGAACGAAGTATTTTAATTTAAAATGTTTATTATTTAAATCTCAACTCATCTGAAAATTTAAATCCAAACAAACACGCCCAAAATGAAAGTGACAAATAAAAAAAAATAATAATAAATAAATAAAGAGCAAGTGAACGGATACTGCCAATTCCTTTTCACATACATTCAACGCCAGACTTTTCGCCAGCGCTGCTGCTGCTGCTGCTGTGGATCTTCAATTTTGATGCATCATTGTCATAAATGCAGCGGTAATTGAATCCTGATCGCGGCGGAGGTCGGTGGGGGTGGTGGATGTCCTACTGTTCTACGGCAGCCTTTGTTGCGCGAGCTGGCGCGATATAATTTGTGGCCATGTGTATCATAAAAACTGGTAACCAACCACTCTCTATTTTTGAATTCTGTTGGCAAAATGAATTTGTCGTGTTTTGTATTTCCTTCGTAATTTACGCGACGGTTCTGAGCTCCGTTCGTGAAATTCAGGTGGATTCGGGGAAATTTCGCGTTAGAGGAAGCGAAAGGATTGTGGTTCTTCAATTTGGTGAGAATTGCAGCGTTTCGTGTTGCTTTTTATGTGTTAGATTTGTTGAGTTTTTCGATTTAGGGTTTATCTGAAAGTCAGGCTCTGTTGTGATTTAAATTTTACATTTGATTTGGTGAAGTATTTTGGAAGTTATCTGGATATGGAAAACGTGTACAAACAGAGTCTATGAAGTTTGTTACCATCTTCACGATTTATTGAATCTGAGTTTTTAGTTTTGGATTTGAAGTTTGGCGGATCGTTGAGTTTGAGATTAGCTGCAAAAATGGGGGAAAAGGAGATTAGGAAAATGGAAGGATTCGATGTGAATAATGCAGCATTAGCAGAGTCTGTAGTAGCTCTGGCAATAAGTGGAAGCAGTAAGAGCAAATATGTTGTCAAGTGGGCTTTGGAGAAGTTTGTTCCTGAAGGACAAGTCTACTTCAAGATACTGCATGTTCGCCCGGTGATTTCGCGAATTCCGACTCCTAGTAAGTTGTTTGCTACAGTTTTTCATGGCATGGATTGATTTAGATTTAGTTAAGATATGTTTGTTGAATGATGATGATGCTGTGAAGAAGTTATTTGTGTGTTTAGAAAAAAGAAATCATCGATCTTTGTGTTTCTTGTGTTTGAAAATTGGTTTAGCACATTGATCAGATGGTTTGATACTCGATGCTCCTCGACTTGATTGGATTGGCCTTTCAGTAATGAATGAAAAACTTATGTATTTGTGAATGATGATGCTGTGAAGAAATCATTTGTGTGTGTTTAGAAAGAAAAAAAAGCATCGAATGATCTTTGTGTTAGTACATTGTTAGGATGGTTTGATCCTCGACTTGGTTGAATTGGGCTTTCGGCGATGAACTCATGACTTTAATCGATGAAATTACTCTTGTTGGTTGACCCATGTTTGTAGATAAATAATTAAATGATATCGTATCCTAACAGCTAAAACGTTTAGGTTAGTCGGTCATTTATATCATCTAACAACTTTTAAGTTGAAATTTTGAGGCATTTTTTAGATTTGTTGGATATGTTACATGCTGTTTTGGTCGTTCCAGTGGGTAACTTTATTCCCGTTTCGCAAGTTCGGGAAGATGTGGTGAAGGCATTTCGAAAGGAACTCGAGTGGCAAGCGAAGGAAAAGCTTCTTCCCTACAAAAAAATGTGTTCCCAAAGAAAGGTTAGATATTATACCGATGGATTTCTTGGAAGATTATATTTTTCGTCGTCTCGTGAGGTTCTTATCAGCTCTACCTTCTCGCAGGTGCAAGTAGAAATCGTGCAGATCGAATCAGACGACGTCGTAGAAGCTATAGCTGGGGATATACAGCGAAATAAGATCGCTAAACTTGTCATCGCGACTTCCTCCCGTAATATCTTCTCCAGGTAATTTACAAAACATATTAATCACGCTGTGTTCTTCGTGTATCAAATGTATTGCATTTTAGCGATCAAAAGTTATCATGTTAAGGACGCCAAAGCTGTCATCGATGATAACGGAAGGCTGTCCGATGTTTTGTACTGTGTACGCTGTTTCTAAGGGGAAGCTGTCGTCGATACGTCCTGCAAATTCAGAACCAAACGAAAGATTCATTGAAGAAGAAGAAGACGACGCCAGCGAGACGAGCAGCACGTCCACCGATAATTACACAAACAATAGTTTGAGCTCGCGAACAGGTCTCGTATCTTATGTAATAAGTGTTCGTTTCCTCGTCGTAAAAAAAAAAAAAAAAAACTGTAATAACTCATTTCCCTTCTTGTGTCTTCAGATTGGACGGATCAGGGCTCGGTAGGATCCTATTCTAATTATCGTTCGTCTTCGCTGCCGGCGCAGCGCTTCCAAGCTCTCTCCGCGATAAATCAGTCGCTTCTTCATAAACGAATGCCTTCGGGCGGAGTTGTCCCTTTGAAAGACTTACCTATCAGTGGCTTCAATGCAATTGACGGGACTACCATGGCCCCGAGCCTCGCGAGCTTAGCAGCAAGAGATAGTTTGTTGTGGGATCAAGCCTCGACATCGGATATCTCTTCCGAGAATCAGGTAATCTAGTCGAAGATCATACGACTTCGTATTGATTTTGGTTTATTTAGCTCGAGTCTCGACGACAGCATTCGTTTATGCAGGTGAACGTCGACTTTGAGGTCGAACGATTGAGGACTGAGCTGAGACATATTCGAGGAATGTACGCCATGGCTCAAACCGAGGCCACCGATGCTTCTAGGAAGGTTCGTTTTCGCATCTAATGTTCATTTGCACGTATACGACGAGTTCTTTCGACTAAAACACCTTCTGCTCTGCCAGTTAAGCGAACTTCAGAAACGTCGTCTACAAGAGGACGCTAATCTAAAACAGATAAGTATCAAGGAAGAAGAAGCGAAAGAGTTTGCGCGAAAGGTTAAAGAAAGATACGAAGCTGCGATAAGAGAAGCCGAGCTCATCAAGGACTGCGTCGAGAGAGAAGCTGCAGAAAGGAAAGAAGCGGAGATAAGAGCGTTACACGAAACCAAAGAGAAGGAGAAGCTCGAATCTACCTTGACCGGCGGCTTCAATCTGTATCGACAATTCACGTGGGAAGAAATCGAGTCCGCGACTTCATCCTTCTCCGACGATCTCAAAATCGGGATGGGCGCGTATGGCGCCGTGTATAAATGCAGCTTTCTGCACACGACCGCGGCCGTGAAGGTTCTTCACTCGACGGAAGCTACCAGAGATAAGCAATTTCAGCAAGAGGTACGTCCATTCTCTCTGATAATAGCATTGATTCGATGTTCTTAAGCTCTGTTTCGTGTTCGAAATCGTCGTTTTCACAGTTGGAGATATTGAGCCGAATTCGACACCCTCACTTGATGATTCTTCTCGGCGCCTGCCCGGAGCGGAGCTGCCTCGTGTACGAGTTCATGGAGAACGGCAGCCTCGAAGACATACTGATGAAGAAACCCAGGCGACCGCTGTTATGGCACGATCGTTTCCGGATCGCCTGGGAAGTAGCATCGGCCCTCGTGTTCCTGCACAGCACAAAGCCGAGAGCAATCATACACCGCGACCTGAAGCCGGCGAACATACTCCTCGATCGAAACTACGTGAGCAAAATAGGGGACGTTGGGCTCTCGACAATGGTGAACAGGGACGCTCTTTCGTTATCCGCCGCGTACAAGGACACCGCGCCGGTGGGCACAATGTACTACATCGATCCCGAGTATCAAAGAACCGGAGTTGTTTCTCCCAAGTCTGATGTCTATGCCTTCGGGATGGTTGTTCTGCAACTGCTGACGGGGAAGCAGGCGATCGCGCTAGCTCATAAAGTCGAAGTAGCGATAAGCAAGGGGCGTTTCGCGGAGGTGCTGGATCCCGAGGCCGGCGCTTGGCCTGTCGAGGAAACCAGAGAATTAGCACTCGTTGCGCTGCAGTGCACTGAACTTAGGAGAATCGATAGGCCTGAGTTAGAGGAACAAGTCTTTCCATTGTTGGAGAGGATGAAAGACTTCGCCGAGGAAGCTCGGGACTCGGCTGCTGAGGCTATGCCCCCGCCTCCGAAACACTTCTTGTGCCCTATTCTCAAGGTAACTTTTTTTTATCGCGTAAATGAGTCGATGATTTGTCTTATGAATCGAAAATAAGTAGAGCTTACGTGTTGCAGGGCGTAATGGAGGATCCGTGCGTTGCTGGGGATGGCTACACGTACGACCGGAAGGGGATCGAGTCGTGGCTCGAGGCGAACGATACGTCTCCGATGACAGAATCGCCGTTGCCGCACAAGTACTTGGTTCCGAACTACACGCTTCTTTCTGCAATCATGGAATGGAAGTCGGGTAAGTATGAAGCCGAAGCTCGATTCTGATATATTCGACAACATTTGTCTGTAGAAATTTTATGTCTTAGATCATTCCAACTGTATAGAACCTACCTTTCTTGTGTGAGATGATATGTTTTTCCGAATTTGTTCTAAATTAGTCTTTTCTATAAGCATTCTTCCGAAGTCCTAGTCTCGATATCGAGCTAAACTACCAGAAACAATCTAATGCCAGTAAACAAAAATGTAGAAAATGTCGGGCTCTTTCTCTTCATGCGATCCTATAAATTTGCTCAAATCTATGAATACCGAAGCTGCGAAATAAAATAGTTGAAAATGAATGGATACCTTTGATGTTCTAATCTTCATTCTTCCGCGATGGTCGCGAAAATAATTCCGGGGTGATTTAGCAAAGCATCCTCACGCACTGAAGATCTAGAGCTGCCAATGACTCTGTAATTAACACTAATAATACGTTTCAAATTCTGTCGACGACGACGAGTTTCCTAACAACAATGCTATTCATTATCTCATTCAATAAACAACAAATTCAAAAGTCCGATCACTCTAATTTCTTCACATCAAAAAAAATATCTGCATATGATCATCTTTCGCGACTATTTTGTTGTTAAACCTTCGTCTGCAAGTCAATCGGAGTCTCTTTCTGATGCTGCCAAGGGTCATGAAGATAAATTCTCGGCCAAAACATTCATCGCGGGAGAATGTATGTTAGTCCACGACAAGAACTGCAAAGAAGTCGAAACATAACCTTAGGGGCCAGGGTTTCAACACTTCCCGATTTCCTCAAGCTTGTCGAGAATTTGCTTAATGTCAGGTCGAAGGGGTCGGGAGGGAGAGCAACAAGCCATTGCCAGTTGAAAATATTTGAGAATCCCATCTTCAGTGACTACCCTCTGATCATTGCTTAGGTTCTGAAGGATGTTGGGATGATACAAGTCAGAGATTCGATCATCAATAATCGCACTTCTCAAGACACTCGGCAGATAAAAATCTTGATCAGGCGTAGGGTTTTCATCGATCGCTGGTTTTCCGGTCAGCAACTCTAGAAGGATTACTCCTAAGCTGTAAATATCACTAGCTTCACAGGCATCTTTCAGCTTAATCAATTCCGGAGCTTTATACCCCTCGGATGCAGACCTTTCGAGCATTTGTTGCCCTGCAGCAGGACTCAGAAGAAGATGCAGCCCAAAATCCGACACATATGGGTTGCAATGATGATCCAGGAGTATGTTTTTCGACTTAAGGTTGCCATGGATAATGGGCTTCTCATTTGATGTGTGTAGATGGAAAAGTCCTCTGGCAATGCCGGTGGAAATCCTGCATATGATCGGCCATTTCCGAGCAGCACCATTATCATCTGCCAATGAACACGCCATGAATGGAAGCTTAGATATCTTCGAAAACCAACAAGAAAGGTGAAAAAAGACATCACTCAATGCAACGGTGTAAGGCAATTTATTTACGACGTACCAATAGATTCAATACTTCCCGGAAAATTACAATAATGCTGTATATAACATTAATGAAAGTTCAATGTACAGCATCACAATGGCAGCATTAAAGAGATCAACTATCCATCAAAGTAGAAACATTAAATTCGGATCGCTGACAAAAAGATATTAAGAATTCCATTGCAAGCAAGAGATCAATTGAAACTTTTCGGGGAACAGCCGTCGAAAGATCAACACTTAAACTAAACCAAGAAATTCATTGAAGCATGATGGAATTTAAACCAACAACACTTTCAAGATTATACCAATCTGTCTGTACTTCAGAATAAAGAACAATTTGAATTAAGATCATTCAACTCTACACAGAATCATATCAGCTGTTCACTAAGTTGAATCCATTTCTTCCACAATGACAATAAGATTAAATTTGATAGCAATAACAAGTAAACTCATAAGAGCCAATCCATTTCTTCTACTATGAGATTAAATTTGATAGCAATAACAAGTAAAATTATAAGAGCCTTATTTACCTCTGATGAACTGAGCCAAATTTCCAGCAGCATAAAATGGATGAACCATAAGCTTCTCCCCTCTCGAGCCTGCATAAAATGCATTAAGAGGCACCAAATTTGGGTGCCTAACAGAACCCAAAAACTCTGCAATTGGCAGGACCTCCTTAACCCTCAGTGTGCAGGTAGGCCTAAGGAATCTAAGCAATGTGAGCGAATTTGATTTGACCAAACAGGCTCTGTAAAGCGTTCCATAGCTGGATTTCCCAATCACTTCACCAGGAGCATCCAGGATTTCCTGCGCCGTAAGATGTTCACCGCCTCGGAACCAGATCAAATCCTCCGACGCGTTTGCCGCCAAATCTCTTTCCTTGCACTGGAATGCAGTTTCGGCGTCTCTAGAACCTTCCGCCCTCATCCTCCGCACGAGGCAAAAGGCTAACAGCAATAGAAGTAGTAGGGTTGATATTGATGGCAAACATATGACCAGTATGAGCTTGTGCTTGTGCTCCATCTCTCTCGCATCAAAAACAAAGGAATTATCGATGTATCGCGATCTCGTCGTTTCCTTCAACGATTGAAGCTGAAAAATCCGATAGTAGAGAAGCAGCTCAAAATTGAAACAGAAATTGCCAGCAACAGATCTTCCTCCGAAAATGGAGAAGCAGAATCTGAAAATGGAGCTCTCTCACTGCTAATGGAACGGCACCTTCTGTGTTCTCGAAATTGATGAATACAATACACCAATTAACTGATTGCTTGGGGAATGCCGATCAGTTTGCAAATCAATTTGCAGACAAATCCGACTGTGTGTCTCTGTGAGAGAGAGAGAGAGAGAGAGAGAGGATAGAGAGAGAAAGACGTGCAGAGAAGACAGACTGTTCCGTTGGTTGGAGAGAGAAGTTTTGGGGTTAAAATAGTCTTATTTTTTTATTGCAATTTCTAAATTTAAAATATTGTAAAATTTTATTTATTTTTAATTTTGACGTTATCGATTTAAATTTAAATAAGTGACGACAAATTAGAAGCATTTATTTATTTATTTAATATATAATATTAAAAAATATATATAAAAATAAAAATGGGAACCTAATTGAGACAATCAAATAAAATGTAGAATATATGTTTGATTTTATTCTTATTTGTGATCCATTTCTGGCCTAATTACTTATTAAATATAAATTAAATAAATGTGGATTGTATAATTTGGGGAATTTATTTTGTGACACATGCAAAATTAATTGGTGAAATTCTGAATGAATGCAGATAGATGGCATCAATGCAATATTAATATTTGTGTTCTATCCTATAAATAAATAAAAAAATTCAATTATAGTTTAGGAAGGCATTAAATTTGAGAGGGACAGTGAACCTATTGCAGTTGGAAGTTAGATATATAGAGCAACTAAATTGAATAACAAGTACTTCCTCCGTCATAGAACGTCCAATCGTGTGCTCATTTGATCGGATACGAATTTTAAGAAAAATATGGAGAAATAAATTTTTTTACTTTTTTAAGTAAAAAAAAACAAAAATAAATTTGAATGAAAAAATAAATAAAAATAAATTTGGATGACAGAAGAAGTATATTGTTGCTTGAAATACTTTTTTTTTTTATCAAATTATTACTAGTATTTTATTTTTATTTTTTTATATCATTCCCGTTGGAAACTTTTATATTTTTATTTTTTTAAAAAAAGAAAATTGGGTATGTATTTGAATTTTCTTAATTAATTCGGTTTGATTTTAGTTTGACTCTAAGTATAAATTATTTAAAGCATGTTGAAATTAATGTATTGTGTTGTAGTTTTTTTTTTTTTTTTTTTTTTTGATAGTTTGAAAATGAAAATAATTTTAATATTTTGTATGTGAACTAAAAGTCTTTAATGTAGTATTATAAAATATTTTAGATATGTCATTTTGAAATTTAATTTCAGTTTATTTACTATAGGACCATTACAAGTATTTATAAAAATGTATTTTTCTAATCACAAAATATTATATCTAATGTTTTAAAAAAAAAAAAAAAACTCAAACTAAAAATATATTTTTCCGTTCAGTGTAAGATTGTCATTTATCTTTTGTGTCATTTACTTAGATATTAAAAATATTACTTATATTTGAATAATTTAATCAATAAATATTGTAATAAATATATTTTTGTCATTTTTTTTTATTTATACTATATATTAATATAATAATTAATATTCAAATATCAATCTTAAGAGACAATGATAACTTCTTTTTGGTTGAACGGTACTTTATTTGAATTTGTTTGGTTGACAAATACTCATTCCGTCCCAAAAGTATATTCTTGTTGTGTTAGACATGAGATTTAAGAAATATTGATATTATATTAGTAGTCAGTAGAAAGAAAGGAAAAAATTCCCTTGTGAGTATATTAGTGTACAAAGTAGTGACTATTGTATAATAATAATAATGAAAAAGTAGGGATAGCCTTACGGTGATATAGTTATTTATGAAAATGAGACTATTATTTTTGGACGTACAAAAATGGTAAACAAGACTCTTATATTGGGACGGATGAAATAATTTTTTTAATGTTTTTAATATTTAATCTTTAATTCCATATAGAAATACATTTTTTTTTCTTCGTAAATTACTAAATTCATTTATATTAAAAGATTACCGAAAATAATAAATAAATAAATCCTTTTTATAGTATCTACCAAAATGGACGTGACTTCCAAACAAAAAAAAAAAAAAGCTTATGGAAGCAAGGCATTAAGATTCAGTGATGTTACATCAGCTCGTGTGACCGACACTTATATATATATATATATATATTTTTTGTGTTGAAAAACTGTAATAATATAAAAATAAATAAAATAAACATTAAACATTTTTTAAACTTAAAAAGATACAAAATTTGAATTTAGTTTGCGTTTGAATTTTTTATTTAAATAATCTAGTATAATTTTGGTTATTAAAACAAAAATACGATGATTGTATTTTTTGTGAAATTTACCGAAATTTTCATTATTTATTTTTTTAAAAAAATTTGATTAAATTAAATAATTTTTTTTTTAATATCATACTATAAATTTATTTTAAATTTATAATATTATCAAACAATTATTTAAATTCGATATTTTATTATTAAAAAATTTAAATCCACAAAAAAAGTACTTTTATATTTTTATTAAAAATCGTATAAATGTAACAGTGTTAGATTTAAATTGAGACCCAATTCAAATAAACTCAAACCTTAGGCCCAAATAAACTGGGTTTGAAATGAAAGCCCAAATAACATTAGCCCAATATTAATAAAGCCCTTTTTAAGAGTATTTTTTAATATTTTTATTATTAGTAGTAGAACCAGAAACCAGACCCGATTTCAAAACCCTAATTAAGAACCCTAGCGAAGCTCTGTGGTCGGCGAATCCTTCTTCCTTGTAGTTATCGAATTGAAGGAGAAGATATTGACGAGCCATGGCGAAATCAATGAGATCAAAGCGGGAGAAGAGGTTGAGGGCGATAAGGAGAGAAATGGTTGAGCCAATTTACGAGAAGAAAGAGGCGGCCAAGCAAACCGCCCTGGAGGCCGCTCTCGCCGCCCCTAAACTTCCAGTCAAGCCCAGCCCCTTCGCCGCCATGGAGACCGCCGATGAGGCTGCTGGTTCTTTGCCTAAAACCGACGGCATGGGTATGGTTTATAATTTCTCTTTTGGTTTCACTTTCTGCCTGAGTTTTGGTTCGTGCACAGTGTGGAGATTGTTTATATGATTCCTGTGTTGAATAACAGAAATTTATACGGTTGATTTACTTATTTCCATTAGGAATTTGTAGGATTTTGAGGAGTAATTTAGTTCCGGAAAATTCATGAACAGAAATATGTTAAATTGATTTGTTCCTCTTTAGGCATTTATCGTATAACATAGCAATGAGATTATGGAAGTAAACAACTAGGATCAAATGTAAAAATCTTACATTGATTGTGTATAATATGTGGTCTATGATCTGAATGTAATTGTGTTATGATTTGATTTCCAATGCTTTGGTTAGAGATAGAGAGGATATTTCCAGAAGTACTGATACATTCGAGAGTTTTCGAGGAAAATGACTAACATATACATGAGAAACTTAACTATAATATGATGCCAAATGCATATTTTTAATTTTCCAAGCTGTTTGTAAAATCAATGTCGATTTTGCTGGTGAGCAGATGTGGAGATGGCTGATGGCAGTCAGCATGCAAGATTGTTGAAGCCCATGGGTAAGAAGATGAAAAAGAAGATCAAGATCGCCCGAAGGAAGGGTCATGGCAAAGGTAAAATCAGAAAGAAGCACAATGTATAGTTTAATTGGTAAAGACTATTTCTCTTCATTGCTCTGTTTACATGACATCTTGTGGTCTTTCCATATCAATCAAATTTTGGTTATTGAAATTCAAAGATTGGAACTTTGAGATCCTAGTTTAGATCGGGTTGTAACAAAACATGATGACACACTTGGATAGAATTCTTAAGCTATCTTTATATGCTTTATTGGTTGCGTTTTGCCATCTTTAAGTGATTTTGTCGCATTATATATTAAACAAAATAGTACTTTCTCAGTCCCTTTTCAAAGAGGCTTTTTGGAGTTTTTGTAGTAAATTAAGAAATAATAGTGCACTTTATTTGTTAGTTCAAGTGTGCAAGGGGTTTGGCATCTTTCTACATCCGAAAAATCGAGTGAATATTGAAAGTTTATAAAGGAATCGGGTGTGTGTTACTTGTGAGGTTTTGATTTTGAGTTGCAAAGTTTTGAATTGAAATAGTTGTTTGATGTGATATAAATATGTATTGATGTGCTGTTTTGAATATAAAATTAGATTTTAGTTTAATAAAATAAATAAAAATTGAGTGTTTGAATTAATGTTTTTGGAGGGAAAAGAAAGTTGAAATAGTAAAATAAGGATAGAATTTCTTAGAAATAAATCTGTGGGTTTTGGAGTTGGTTTTATGTTTTGAATTAAATTTGGTAGTGGGTAAAAAGTAAGGTTAAATGACTTTTTTGCCCTTGTGAGTATATTAGTGTAAAAAGTAGTGACAATTGTGTAATAATAATGAAAAAGTAGGGATAGTTTTACGGTGATATGGTTATTTATGAAAATGAGACTATTGTTTTGAGACGGACAAAAATGGTAAATAAAACTATTGTATTGGGACAGAGGAAGTAATAATTTAAAGTTATCATATACTCTCTTCGTTTCAGAACTATAGTCTTAATTGGGATTGAGTACGAGATTTAAGGAATATTAATATTATATTGGTAGTTGATAAAAAGTATGGATAAAAGACTTTTTTTTTTTTTTGCCCTTGTGAGTGTATTAGTGTAAAAAATAGTGGCAATTGTGTAATAAAAATGAAAAAGTAGGGATAGTTTTATGGTGATATTGTTATTTATAGAAATAAGACTATTATTTTGGGACAGACAAAAATGATAAACAAGAGTATTGAGTATTGTATTAGGACGGAGAAGTAGTATTGATTTTAGTATAAAGGATATGTTAATATGTCATACTTCATAAAATATAAACAGTAACTGCACCCCACATTTAAACATGGTAAAATTATAAAAAGATTAAGACTCTATTTATACAACACATTTTTACTTATTTGATACTATTTATTTTCCAAAAAATATTACATCAAATGTATTTTTTTTTTCACAAAATATCAAATCAAATACTTAACTTTTTATTTTTTCCAAACTTAAAAAAAAAAAAAACAAAAACAAAAATAAAAACCTATCTAAACAAACCATAAGTTTGCCAAACTCACTTATCTAGTGATTTAATAAAATTATACACTCCGTCCAGCTAAAAAGTATACATATTTTTATTTTGGGACGTTCAGTTACAAAGTAAATATTTATTAATTACCTTATTTTTTTTTTTCACAAATACCTTTATTTTACATCACATCATTACTTTTACACAAAAAAAAGGGCAAAAATGTCATTACACTAATTTTAATTACTCATTGTAATTAAAATACTCCCACCGTTCCATAACTAAATATTCATTTGTTTTTTGCACGTAGTTTTAAAAATATTAATATTATATTTAGATATAGTAGGAATAAAGTCGAAATGATGAAAATAACTTTATTAGTATGTGTGATATAAAGGGAATAACATTTGTATAATATATTGTAAGTTGTAAGGGTATTTGTAATGTTAGGTACAGTTATTAAAAAGAAAATATATATTTTGTTACGAGACGGACTAAAATAGAAAAATAGATATTTTATTATGGAACGGAGAGAGTACTATTATTTTTTAAATACCGCATTAAAAGTAAACGTTGCGGACTGATGGAGTAATTCTTTTTTAGTAAATTCTACTAATACTTAAACACTTGGAACCAAACAAGGCATGGTCACCTACCACCCACAAATTGGCATCTGATAGTATGAAATAATTAGCCGTTAGGGTGGGTACTGACATCGCAACATATCGCCTTTTTTCAATGTAATAAATATGATACATATACGGATATTTTTATAATTTTGTATAATATATATAATAATAATAATACTAATAAATAAAACGTACTTTTCATAAGCACTCTTCTCACACCACACACTCACAATAAAAATTGTATAGTAAAAAATGGTAAGATAAACAAATATATTGTAAAAAATATATTTATCTAAACACTTTATTAAATAATATAAAAATTTCTTATAAATGGAAATTGAATTTTGTCTTTTACGATCGATCATATCTAAGCCGTACGAGTCCACAAAACACTCTAAAGCATTTCCAACTAAACAAAATTCAATAATTTAAATTAAAAAAAAAAAACAAAAAAACGTTCCTATTACGTAGTTGTTTGAGTAAACCAAACAAAGTGTACAGTGCAATGTCCATCGTACCCTTGCCCCAAAATACGTCACAGACAAAGGTGAAGGGCATTCCCGTCATTTCACCTGGGGAGCAAAAGATTCCAAAACCAGAAGCAGAATCCCCATCTTTTGGCTCACCGAAAAAATCCCCACCTCAGACTTCACACGCCTTCTCGCAACCTCCGCCGCCGCCTCCGACGCCGATCCTAATCGCCGCCGTCGCGTCCGGTGACTCACATGACCCGAAGCCAGAGTCCTGAGCGGAAGGAATCACCGAATCGAACCCCGAGCAGAACCGGCATGAGACTCATAGTGCCTTTGCAGGGGGTAGTTCAAGGCAGGGGCGGCCTGATCCTCGGCTCGCTGATTCCTTGCGCGCTCTTCTATTTCCTGCAGTTTTACCTGAAACGACACCGTTCGCAGCCCCGGCAGCGCTCGGCGTCGGCGGCGAACCTCCCCGATTTGCAGCGTTCGTCTTCGCGTGCTAATTTGTTGGCGCGTGGCTCCACGGTGCGGGCTCACGTGTCGGCCCGGGCTAGCCCCGTCGCGAAGCCGAATGACTCGCCGTACTACATTGGGCTCGATCGGTTGCGAGAGGATCCCTACGATGAAGCTGCGAATCCGGAGGGCGTAATCCAGCTCGGGTTAGCGGAGAATAGGGTGAGTGAGGCTGCGTGATTTGCTAATTGCTTTTTGGTTCGTTGTGAATTTTTTAAATGAGCACTAATTTGAATTTGTTGATTCTGCTTTGAAGTTGTCGTTGGATATAATTGAAGCATGGCTTTCGAGAAATTTGACTGGTTCGATGTTAGGAGTAGGCTCCGATGCTCTAGGGCTCACCAGGCTTGCTGCCTACCAGCCTATGGATGGATTAATGGCGTTCAAAGTGGTAATGAGGCTGATCATTTCCTTGATAATTTTAGTTGATTTCTGGTTTTACCTGAGAATTGGTGTCTCACTTTGGCTGCGAGAATACAAATATGAAGATAATACTTGTAAAGTTGAGGAGATGATGAATATATTGTTCTCATTTCATATTCTAATGCAATGCTCTTAAATGTTAAATTTTTCGAAGTAGTGATTTAGGTTATGCCATGGCTTTGCTAAGGCTTGGAAATATTCTTGAATTGGATAGCGGGAATATTCCTAGTACTTTGTTGAGGGCTGGCTGAATTTTCATTTTTGATTTTCTGCGGTGCAATTTCATAATATAATATGCTTCATACTAATGTCACAGGCAATGGCTGATTTCATGACTGAAGTAATGGGAAGAACAGTACCCTTTGATCCTTCAAGGTTGGTATTGACTTCCGGTGCAACTCCTGCTGTTGAGATACTTAGTTTTTGCCTGGCTGATCAAGGAAACGCTTTCCTTGTCCCTGCACCATACTACCCCGGGTACCATAAATTTTTGTAATTTCATTCATTATAGCAATATTCTCTATTGTATGCAGTGTGTTGTATGCAAAACTTTTTAACTCCCTCTTTTGTTATGTATGGCTCTTATGCTATTTTCTAGTTTCTATATTAATAATATGAATAATAATAACGCTAATGAATTAATGCAGATTTGATAGAGATATAAAATGGAGAGCTGGTGTTGAGCTAATCCCTGTTCATTGTCGACATTGTGATAACTTTACCTTAAATAAGCTGGCTCTGGAACAAGCATTTAATCAGGCAAGGAAAAGGGGTCAAAAAGTCCGTGGGATTCTCATATCTAATCCATCTAACCCTGTCGGGAACATACTGAATCGGGACATGATGTATGATCTCCTAGATTTTGCCAAAACAAGGAACATCCACATCATATCAGATGAAATCTTTGCAGGATCGACATACGGGGATGAAGAATTTGTAAGCATGGCAGAGATAGTTGACCTAGAGGACATCGACAAAGATAGGGTTCACATTATATACGGATTGTCTAAAGATTTCTCCATTCCTGGATTTAGAGTTGGGGCTATATATACATATAATGAAAATGTGTTGGCTGCAGCAAGGAAATTGACTAGATTTTCTTCCGTTTCAACACCCACCCAGCAGCTTCTCATATCAATGCTTTCAGATAAACAGTTCACACTAGACTACATCAAGATAAACCGACAGAGACTACGCATGATGTATGATTTATTTGTTGCAGGATTGAGAGAACTTGGTTTGGAATGTGCAAAAAGCAGTGGGGGGTTATATTGCTGGGTCAATATGAGCAGCCTAATGAGTACGTACAGTGATAAAAGGGAGCTTGAGTTATGGGATAAGCTATTAAATGAAGCCAAGATTAATGTTACTCCCGGTTCAGCCTGTCATTGTATTGAACCCGGATGGTTCAGATTCTGTTTTACAACCTTAAGTGAAAAGGACATTCCTGTAGTCATAGAACGAATACGTAGAGTTGTCAAAAGTTTTAAACCATCTGTATAATACATTTCAAACTTGTGTTTATCGATCCTTATTGGCTAGATATTTTACCATGGTTGAAATGTGGGAGCTTTCTGTTTGAGAGTTCAATTCTTACATGTAGATTTTTTTCTGTAACTTAGTTTTAGATCAATTGTCTCTACCACCTTACAGGCGATGTGCAGATGCCATTGCCAGTTCGAGAGACAGAGTGAGGCAAGGCATTTGTCACAAAGCGCTTCCACGCAAAAGATACATGTTCCGTAAGGTAAATAAGTTCCAAGTGTTGCAAATGATGTTTTGTAAAAGGATAGTTGTTCAATTTTCTTGTGTTTAGACATTTACTTGTGAACGAACCTGAGGCAAAGAATGGGCTATGAATGGATTATTAATTATCAATGTTTGTTATGCATTTTCATGAGCAACGCCTTTGGCGTATCATTGTCAGCAGTTATGAGTGTTGGCCGTGGCCATTCCCTTGTACATTTGTTATCTGCTTTCTGAACTTAGTACATTTCTGTGCAACCAAGCTCACTAGACTTTGATGTTTGCAGGGCTAGGGCATCGTTTTTGCCATCATTACTGGTGCTTCACTTTCTGTATATGTGCTGATGTTGTGAAGCTAGTGTTATTTGTTCCTGTTGTGCTCAGTTTACAGTCTTTCTTGCGCATCCCAGGTTTGTATCCCTATAAGAATGGACTGTCTCTCTGTGTTCCTGTGTGTCATGATATGTCATTTGGTTTGTTGAAATCCCGGAGTAGGATAGCCAGCTTTTCTTGCAAGACACCATGATTTTTGCACGTAAGTTGGTGCAAGTGTGGACACTTTGTCAAGGTGGCTCCCTGGGTGATCCTTCACACTATGCGTCTTTGTATATTATCTTTCTGTCATTGGATTCTTGTCTTAACCAAACATGGAATGTCTTGAGTGAAATCATAATGCCTTTTGCCTTGATAATGTGTTTACTTTATTTAAGATTGTTTTTAGGGTCTCGGAAGATTGGCTTAGGATTCCATTTCATATTCGCTCCTGGCTTCGTCGTTTAGTGGTAACGACGGCAGTCTTAAAACAAGAAGGATCGAAGAAAGCGTCGCATTCAAGGTACATATCTTGCAGTCTTTGATTGATTCCCAATGAGAGAGTCATAGCTGGGAATTTATACTATTATAATTTGGAAAAGTACAGACATTTGCCATTGTGATTATGGTTTGGTTTGTTATCAATTGGTAGATATATTCTGAGTATCGGAAGAATGGAGGATTGGTGCTTAGCTTAACTTTGCTTCATTATATTGATATGTCCTTCCAATTTTCGGTTTATTTTGATTTCATTGAGCTTCTTGTCTGTATGAATGTGATCCATTATGAACTTTTCTTGTGTTCCTTTAACGAGACGTTCTGGACCAAAGCATCCCCTTTGAACTTACTATTTGGATTCTTCCTAAGCACTTTGTCTATCAGATGTTTGAAATCATCTCTTTAGAAAATGTTACACTTTTGAAGAATTGAATAAAACCCGACTCCACGAGCATCAGCAATGAAGTAAATTGGTCGTCCAATATAACGATTGATCTTCTAAACTTTGATCTTTGAATGTATTTTGTTACAGGTTCATTCAGACAGGTCTCTATTTTGTGTCATCTTGTTACAGATGCATTCAGACCTCCTTTTCCGGTTGGGCATCATCTTAAAATGGTAAATATGACAGTCAAAACCATGTTTCTAGCTCATATGTTTTATTGGCAATCTATTTTATGCATAGTATATGCGAAGCTGTCAAATGACAATCCATTCAATTCAGAAGAAAATATGAGCTACGTTAAGGTTTTACCTTGCTATAATGTTATCTTCCAGTGTGTCTTCAAATTTATAATGTTATCTTCCAGTGTGTCTTCAAATTTCAAAGGGTGCAAGTAGGTGTATTTAAAAGAAATGCCGGCTTTATCGGATTGCTGTTGTGCTTTTACCTTCTAGAAGTTCAGTCCTTATTTGATGTTTGAATCCATTTTGTGTTTTTTGCCTCCAAAAACACTCAGCTCCATATTGTTATATGATGGGGTCCATTATTAGCTGGTTTTGTGTCTTCACTGCTGTTTAAGCTTCATTGATATTTTGGCACTCATGACTTAATTGTTTCGTCCATCCACACCTTGTGTTTTCGTTTCCCCGAAAGCATCGCAATATTATGCCTTTGTTCTTTGGCTTGTGTTGTCAAATCAGCTCAATTATTTTTGTTACACCACAGGCAACTGGAATGCTTGTTTGTTGGCTCGTTGCAAGTTTTATTGGTGGCAAGGCTTTTGTTAACTCATTGACTCGTCGCTTCTCCATGTGAACAAACTCTACGCCCGTCGTCTTGTAAGGGGATGGTCTTGTGGTGCAGGAGTTGGACGTGTGACCATGAAGTCATAGGTTTAAACTTTCTGACGCCTCGGATAACCTACTATTAGGTTCGAGGGTTTACTCGGTACGTATTTTGGGCAGTAGCTGCGGGTTTTCAAAAAGAAAAAAAACCCTAATTCTGGCTATTTGTTCGGTTGAAATGTTCTATTGATTTTATTTTTTATTTAAACAAAAATTATATTACACCGTATGTAACAGTGTTGAAATTACTGAAATTAAAATTCAGCACTGTGTGAATAAACAATATGTCAATATATGATATTATTATTGACATACTTTTAAACAATATATGTTGTAATTATAGGCAAACAATACATATTTTTATTACACAGATAATATGTTGTGTATAATAAAAAACTACGGTTATAATGCTGAATGTAACAAACAATACTCAATATAACAATAAACAACATATAGTTCTATTAGTGAGAATATATTATTTATATTAATATAATACAAACACAATTCATAAACTAACAAGATCTAATATGATTTTACACATCACATTTTTATTACAAACAATATTTATTGTATGTAATAAAAACATGTGTTATTTCTATATTTTGCATGTGTTGTTTTGAAAAACCAACACACTGCTCACAGTAATCCTTCCCGTAATAAAAATATATGCTATTTTTATATTTTGTGTACAAATCAACACAGTACATTTTGCATATTGTAATAAAAATTCTATATTATCAGTATATATCCAAATAATATACTACATCCATCTTATAACTATAACTGTAGTCTTAGTTGGATTGGATAAATATTATATTAGTAGTGGATAGAAAATATAAATAAAAAACTCTTGCTATTGTAAATGTATTAGTATAAAAGCGAATGATAATTATATAATAAAAATAAAATAATTTTATAATAATATAATTATTTATAAATATAAAATTATTATTTTAAAATAAGAAAAATAATAAACAAAACCGTGTCTAAATTAGTATTTGAATCGATATATAGTAATGCTAAAACTTATGATACATGCGGTATTTCAATATCCTTTTTACCGACCCTAATCAATCATCACCCCTACGCCGAGCCGTGACTTCATATTCAGACACGACGTAAATACACGTGTCTAAAACCATCGGTTCTCAACTCCATGCGGCCTTTGCATGCCCACCTCTCCGACACGTCACACCTGACCCTCGCCACGTGTCCTCTCTCCTCCCTCCTCTATTTATCGCCAATTTTCACCTAAACTCTAATTTCAAAATCAACACCCCTCAAAAATTCCCAAAATCGAACGAAAATGGCGGAGCACTACGGTCAGTACCAACAGTCGGGAAGACCATACTCGTACCCCCAGCAGCAGCAGCAGCCGGTGAGCCACCAGGTGGTAAAGGCGGCGACGGCGGTGACCGCCGGCGGTTCGCTGCTGGTCCTGTCGGGGCTTACTCTGGCGGGGACGGTGATCGCGCTGACAATAGCGACGCCGCTGCTGGTGATCTTCAGCCCGGTGCTGGTGCCGGCGGCGGGAGCGTTGTTCCTGCTCTGCGCGGGGTTCGTGGCGTCCGGCGGGTTCGGCGCGGCGGCGGTGGGCGTGATGTCGTGGATTTACAGGTACCTGACTGGGAAACATCCGCCGGGGGCGGATCAGCTGGAGACGGCGCGTACGAAACTTGCGACGAAGGCGCGTGAGATGAAGGAGAGGGCAGAGCAGAACATTCCAGGCACTTAATTAATTAATTAATTATGCTTCTTCTTCATAGCCTTTCTATCTGTACTCTCTGGCTTTAAATATACATACACGTATGTATGTATATGTATGTAGTATTATATATATATATATGTATATTTGTGGTTTTGATGTTATGATCGATGTCGGAATTGAATAAGAAGTTATGGAAATGGAAATAAAATAGTAAATTTTATTATCTTCTTTATTCGAAAGTTATCATCGGAATATGATGCATGCAACAGAGTATTCAGATTTTTACATTTACATGGTACTTCGTGAGAAATTTTACATAAATTATCACGAATCGCCAAAGTATTTAATAAAAGATTGAATACAAAAGGCTTCGGTGGTGTAGAGTTTGGACTTGTCATCGTTCAAATCTCCGCCTCTTCGTCTAGTGTGATTTTTTCGTTTGGTTGTGCAGGGTATTAGATTTGATCAGAGATTTATCAATCCGTGTGTGTTTTCGGGTAGCGATTGCGGGTTTTTCTGCTATAAAGAAAAAAAAAAAAACGAAAGGCTTTGTTATACTGGGCAGCTATAATATGTAAATTAGTATTCAATTATTTGGAAATGACGCTTTAATAAAAATGTCTTACTAATAATTTTTATTTTGATATTAATATAAAAAAAGTAATATTTTTTTCATTAGAAAGAAAATTGAGAAACTTTTGGTGACTAACTTAAAAATAAATAAATATAATTTTTTGAGAAACTTTTGGTGACAGTTTAAAAATAAATAAATATAAATTTGGACACTAAAAAAAGTATTCTCTCCTGCCCCTGACATGTCTACGTTTTTACTTTACTCATTTCATTTATTTTTTCACTTTTTTTTAAAAAAAAATTATATAATTTTATTTTATTTTAAATTTTAATTAGTTGCTTTAATTTATAATTATTTTATTAATATATTTTTAATTATTTATTAATTATATATTTTTTAAATTTTCATGTCTAGTCTACGTGGACATGCGCGAGATTGTTTGCTTTCAAAAAATAAGTCATGTGAGGGGGAATTATGTATTTGACAAATTCTTGAAAAAAATAAGTCAGGTAATGTCAAATTTCGGGGTTTAAACATATAATTTTACGGTCATATGAATCTATGTTACGGATTCATCCTCACATTATCAAAAATTGAACATAAGATTTTCACGGTTACGAGTCTATTTTTACACCATTTTTACTGTCACGGGTTTATTCTAAATTATATAATTTTATGGTCACGAGTTCACCTCAGAAGTCCGACAAGCTAAATATGACTATAATTTTTACGGTCACGAGTTCACCTCAGAAGTCCGAAAGCTAAGTATGACTATAATTTTTACGGTCACGAGTTCATCTCAGAAGTCCGACAAGCTAAGTATGCCTATAATTTTTACGGTCACGAATTCACCTCAGAAGTCCGACAAGCTAAGTATGACTATAATTTTTACGGTCTCGAGTTCACCTCATAAGTCCGACAAGTTAAGTATGACTATGACAAGTGACTTGGAAATGAAGAAGCGACCAGGAGTTTGAATTCATAATTTTATGATCACAAATTTATTTTCATACTATCAGCCCTTTTTTTTTATTATTGTCATTAGCCCATTTTTTACTGTCACAAGTTGATTCACACATCATAGCCCTTACTGGAGTCCATCCGTTTTATTGTTTATTACGCGATGCATGAGTCATGAGGATCAAATGATTATAATGCTCTCTACGTGCTGGGAAGATGGACTTTGTTGTAAATAAAAAATAAAAAATAAAAAACATAATTTATCCAAAAAAAGCAGACTATAAATATTCATCCAATAATTTAAGGAAGCATTACTTAAAAATGTTAATTCGTATAATGAGTAGAGCCCAAAGTAATTTAGTTATTATTTTATTATAAATTGTGTTAAAATCAACTATAAATTATGTTGTTACACTTGGGAAACTCACAGCCGCTACCAAAGTGAAGACAGAGTAAATCTCAAGTTGAACCTAATATCATGTAAATTATATTTGATAAAATAAATTACACTAAACGAATCATGTGTGATATGTGACCTGGAGACGTTGAGGGCTTAAATTCATAATCTCACGGTCATGAATCTATCCTCACACCACTAGGTCTTCCCTTACGGGATTACAATCGTATTATGTTAATACATGAAACGGACAACACATGTTATTATCAGATATTATTATCAAATATAATACAATCTATATCTAATTTCAGTATAATGTAATAAAAAAATATAACAACCACACAATTTTATCAAACATAATATGCATTGTTTTTATTGGTACCGTGTGTTGATTATCTAATCGTTATTTGATTTCAAAGTTTATAAGATTTATTTTATTTTTACTTTATGTTTGAAAATTATTAAAAAGATATAATATATATTTTTCATCTAAATTGAAAGTATTTTTTTTATCAATTTTATTTATCCTACTCAAAAGGGTAAAAATATTTTATATACAAATACCAAATATTTTATTTATATTTTATAAGAGTAAAAATGACAAACTATCTTATACACTTTTATTAACTAATAAAATATTATTTTTTTTATTTACTACTTTCTCCGTCTCAAACAAGGTGCAATATTTGCGTTTGACACGAGTTTTTAGGTGGGTAGTATTAAATAGGATAATTTAGAAATTACGTGATGTGACAGAGAGTAAAATGTATATTTTATTTTTGTATTTGGATGACGTCAGGATAAAATGTGGGATAGAGATTAAATATGATTAATTATTTTCTATTTTAAAAATGTTACAGGGTGATTGAGACAGTGGGAGTATAAAAATGCAAATGCTCTTTAAAATAAAAGGGAGGAGTATAATTATAGATAATATATATTCTCTCTATTCGTAAAATAATAATAATAATAATAATATTTATATAAAAGTTATGCAATAACATATAAATTATGCATTAAAAAAATATATATTCATTAAAAAAATAAAATAAACATAAAAAGAATGCATAAATAAATACTCCCTTCGTTCTGGAATTAAATATTCATTTGCTTTTTGCACGTAGTTTTAGAAATATTAGTATTATATTGGGACATAGTAGGAATAAAATAAAAATGATTAAAATAACCTTTTTAGTATGGTGTGATATAAAGGTAATGACATTTGTGTAATATATTGTAAGTTGTAAGGGTATTTGTAATGTTAGATAGATAGTATAGTTATTAAAAACGGAAATGGATACTTTGTTACGAGACAGAGTAAATAATATATTTAAAATTTAAAATAATATAAAATATTTGAAATACAGTACATGTAGTTATATTTAATACATAAAACTCACCTACTTCTTTATTGTGGCAACACAACATTAATAAAGGCAACAAACGTTGTTTTGGTGTTTCATTAAATATCTTAAATCTCATCCGCCATCTTCTCCTTTTGGTACCAATTACACTTGAGTCAACTATTTAATTAAATAAATATATGTATAGTAGTATTAAATAATCTCTCCTACCAAACTAATTATGTCATCCTTTTTCTTTTAATAGTTTGTTAAATTTATATATAATTTATTATAATAAATATTTTTTGTTCATTTATAATTTTATTTATTTTTTAATAAATAATAATTAATTTGTCATTTTTTTTTATTTATCCTACTAATTTTTAATATTTTTATTTATTTTTATTTATCTCATTTTTATATTAAAATATTATTATTTAATAATGTTCGTACCCAACTAAACGAGCAAAAAATTAGAAACCGAGGAAATATTATATTTTTATAAAAAAAATAAAAATTAATAAGAATATTATATATAAAAGGATATAAATTTCATTCGTCTCAATTTCAAATACTATTTTTGCTATTTTCTTGTCTTTATTGTTCAAAATTATCTTCTTGTTTTTTTATTTTAGTAAAATAATTACACTAATACTAAAATATTCTTAATTTTTTACTTAAATTACAAACAATAATAATTTATGCATAAAGTTAAAGGATAAAAATATCAAATTTCTTACATACTTTCATTGACAACTAAAATACTACTACATTCGTCCAACTGGGTCTCATTTACTTTTTGCTTATTGATCTTTGAATATTAATTATTATATGAAAACGTGCTACAAATCAAGAGAAAAATAACATATATAATTCTATTAGTACCTTATAATACTATTATAATGACATCTGTGCAAAAAATTATACAAATATAAAAATATTTTAATTGTTAACTACAATGACGCAAAAGGTAAATAAGATTCTTAAAGTCAGACGGAGGGGATATTATTTTTTAATTTATTATAAAATTCTAAAAAGGTACTTTCAAGTGAGACCAAGATAGTATATAAATTTTTTAGGGAAAAAAAATACAAACGAATGTATAACAATTTTAAAACAAGACAAATGACCGATTCTCAATAAAAATATAATTTTTTATTTTACAAAACATCATATAATAAATATACTATTTAAAAAAATTAAATAAAAAAAAATTCAATTTTAAATTAACTACTGTCGATTTGGACGCACTCTTCGTGTATTTAAAGTCCCGTCTGGCATCCCTATCGGCAAACTTCTGTTGGAGAAATCGACCGCCATAAAAATTCTTCGATTTTTTTTTTTTTTTTTTTTTTTTTTTTTTGCTATAGACGAAGATGGCTAATGAGGGTTTACGCGGCAAGTCTTCCGAGGTGCCTAAGGTGGCCAAAATCAAATTGTTCGGCTTCTCAATTTGTGCGGTAGTAGATGACGCTGATAAGTACGTTACCAATGACACTCAAAGTCTCCAAAACTCAGGGATACACCAATGCATCAATAACAATAACGGCGTTGCAAATCCAATTTTTCCCCGTGAAAGGAACAAAGGTGTTATTTTAATTCATTCTTTTAGAATAAATGCATAAAGTAATTTATGTAAAATTTTATTGCAATCTATCAAAATGATAGCATGGAAACTTTATATTTGTTTACAAAGATGGAATAGAAATTAATTTGCACTTTTTTTTTAATATATATGATATCCTATATATTTATACTAAAATACATATCTTTCTTTATTTTAGAATTCATTTTTCTAAGTATTTGTACATGATATTTATGTGAAATTTATAATCCAATAAATGGAGTTATTTTTTTAAATAGATTTGTGTAATAATCATGGTTCTTCATTATAAATCTCGTGTTCTTCTTGAAGTAAATTTGGATTCGTGTTGATTCGATATAATTGAAATTAAAAAACATGATTGAGTTGGCTATTGGATTTATATTTTGGGTTTTGAATGTTTACTTGACTAATATTTTTGTTGGGAAGTTTTATGAGAAGAAATAGGTTGTTTTTATTAAAAAACCGTAAAATTTTCAAAAAAAAAATATTAAAACCCTATTTTTTAAAAATTTTACAAAGAGATTCAAATTTCAAAGACATAAGCAAAACAATTTTTATTTAAGAAATTATTTATATTCATGGAAATTAAATTGTTCTCTAAATAATTATTCAACTTTATGATAATTTTATACATTCTTTTGATGAAGACAAAACCCTTACATCGTGATTTTATTATTTTCATGTGATAGCAAAATCATGGTCCGAGGATGAGCACAGGGCATTCTTGGAGGGGTTGGAAAAGCTCGGAAAGGGTCGTTGGAAAGGAATAGCGGCAAAGTATGTGCCATCAAGAAGTGCTACCCAAGTAGCTAGCCATGCGCAAAAATACTTCATTTGGTTGGGGAGAGTTAATAAGCAAAGGCGCAGTATTTTCGACATTGTTAGCGAAGGTGTGTGAGGACATGTTTGAAATTGCTTATCGACATGAAATTGGAGGGTCAGAACTCTATATTTTGACAATATTTATCGAGAATTACTCCTAATAAAAATTATGTTTTGGTTCGATTAATTTCTAATTAAAGCATTAGTGTTATAAATATGTGTGTGATATATGTATGTTTTGAATTATATATTATTTAGTTGTAGTTTGAAATTGATTTGAAACGACGTGTTGATTAAAGTTTTTGTTTAAATAATGTGATATTTTGTAAGAAAAAAATAATGTATTTTTATTAAACAAAGTACATAATATATAGTACTCCTTCCGTCCCAAAAATAAATATCCATTTATTTTTTGCACGTAGTTTTAGAAATATTAATATTCCCTCCGTCCACAAACTAATGTCCTACTTTTCTATTTGTGATGTCCAATAACTATTGTCTTATTTTCTTTTTTAACATAAATTTTACATTTTTATCATTTATTCATTTTTACTTTTAATCTCTACCATATAATGAAGGGCAAATTTGTCAATTTATAACAAAAAAAAAACAATCACCTAAAAAATCGTGCAAATATACTTTAGGACAATAGAAATTGGACGGAGGGAGTATTATATTGAAATATAGTAGGAATAAAATAGAAATGACTAAAATAACATTATTAATATGTGTGATATAAAGGTAATGACATTTGTGTAATATATTGTAAGTTGTAAGGGTATTTGTAATGTTAGGTAGATAGTATAATTACTAATAAAAAAAAAAAAGAAAAAAGGAAATTGACATTTTGTTATGGGACGGACTAAAATAAAAAAATGGATATTTTATTATGGGACGGAAGGAGTATTAATTTTAGTTTGAAATCACAAAAGAACAAACCAAATACTCCATTCGTCCGGCCACGAATGTAACTGTTTAATTTTTTTTACGTAAATTTTAGAATATTAGTAGTAGTTTATAGGTAATAGTACAATAGAATGATAAATATGTTTACCAACTCATTTATATTTTTAATAATATTGTGTAAAGTGTATAAAATATTTTTTATTAAAAAAAATACAATTTTTAAAAAAATAATAAATATATTATAGACAAACTAAAATAGTAAAATAAATACATTTAACATGGACAGAGAGAAGTTATAATGCATACCTATATGAATAATATGATTGTTATATTTTCGACATGGATTAATGTGTTATTGCAATAAAATGAAAATAAATACCAAAGTATATATATAAGTCATGTGTTTATTTAATACTTCTAATTCTAGGTGTTCTATTTTAAGATATAAGAAATTATGAAAGTATTATGTGAAATAGTTGTTTAACTTAATATGATTAAATATTGGTATAATATTTTGAATATAAAATTAATTTTTATCTAATATAAAAAAATTTATATTATTTAATATTTTCATGGAGAATCTTTTTTATGCATAGTGAAAATTTACCAAAATTTTATAAATAAACAAAGAATAATATTTTGTATGTTTTTATTGACTTTTATTATTATATGTATCTATTGTATGTTATACATTAACTTCATTTGGAATGAGATTTGTAGATGGTGCTTAGAATACGGTGTTATATACTTACTATTTCATTAAAAAATACTTTAAAATACATATATGAAAATATTTTGGATATTATATTTTAATAAAATATATATTCATATATATATATGTGGTATTATTATAAAATTTTATATAATATCAATAAAATATATATTTTTTAAAAATTGAAACGCAAAATTTCAAGAGAGTACATTACAATATATAGGTAGGGTGGTGTTCAAGTCAGGTAGTTCCGGTCGGGTTCGGTTTAACTGGGTCAGTATTTTTAAAAAATATAAAAATTGGATATCGGGTACCCAATAAAAAATCGGGTTAGATATTTGTATTGAAAATTTATACCTAAAATCTGATTAAATATTCGAATTTTTTTAAAAGATATAATAATACATCATCCCTCCGTCAATAAGGTTTACATTTACATCATGTGTCGTTGTATTTAATATTAAAAATATTCTTATACTTGTATAATTTTTTGTATAAATATTATTACAATAGTATTATAAGACACTAATTGAAGTATTTTTGTTTTTTCCCTTTATTTGTACTACGTTTACATATAATAATTAATATTAAAAAATCAACACGTAAAAAATAAATATGATCCTTATAATCGGACATAGATAGATAATATTAAAATATACTCACTCCATCTAAATACAATAGTCTTATTTATCATTTTTGTTCATCCCAAAACAATAGTCTTATTTCAATAAATAATTACATCACCGTAAAACTATCCCTACTTTTTTATTATTATTACACAATTATCACTACTTTTTACACTAATATATTCATAAGGGCAAAAAAGTTATTTATCCATACTTTTCACTAACCACCAATATAATATTAATATTTTTTAAATCTTGTGTCAAATACAATAAAACTGTATTTTTGGGACGGATGGAGTAACACATATTATATACTATATCCTTACATTTATTTGTATAATATATATGGTTATGGTATTGATAAAAAAGGGAGAAGTCCAACTTTTCTAATTTAAAATAATGAAGATGTCAAAATCTTTTTCATTTTTTTAATAATAATTTACATGTATGAAAAATATTATAAATGTTAAAAATAAAAAATAAAAATAGTACTCCCATTTAAACACAGCACCTAAAAACAAACACAGTATTTTTGAATATTCTCCATAATTAAAAAAAAAAAAAATTTTATTTACACTTTTATTTTTGAATATTTAAAGACAGTTCAATTTATTCATATTTTGGTTGCATTAATTATCTTGGTTGAATAAAATTTTAGTTAATTTTAGTAGGTTGTTGCAATGCATTTATTTTAGTAGTAAGGTGTTTAAAAATTTAACAAAATTTGGTTTATCAAATGTGGTTTCAGAGGATGTTAATTAAGCTGGCAAAATGAGTTAGGTTCGGTCGGGGGTTTACCTAATGCGCATTTTCGGGTTGCGGCCGCGGATTCCCACGTTATCAAAATAAAAAATAAAAAGATAAAAAAAACAACGATTTCACATTGTATTTTGAATTAAACATGTATTGAATATTTATATATATATTTTAAAATTTTTAATGATAGTAGTAGCCTTCGTACTATTATAATTTCTACTTCATTCCTCCACTTAAAAAATATACATTTATTTTGTATAAAGTTTAATGAATATTGTATTTAAATGACGGTTTTCTAATAGCTTTGTTATATAAATACTCCATCCGCGAAAGATTGAGTATTTTGTTAGGGATACGGTATTTTTAGGTAGTGTAAGTTATTAAGTTATTAATAATAAGTTAAGATAATATTTTATTATTTTGTATATATGTAGTGTTGTTGGTATTTTAAGTATTTTTTTAATATTATTTTGTAGACAATAAAAATATATATTATTTATTTATCATCACCATAAATTAGTTTTATAAAAAAATGAGGAGTTTTAAATGTAGATAAAAATATTTGTTAATTGAAGAGAGATATAGAAATAAAGGGGTTTTGAGTGAGTTAAGTATATTTAAGATTGATAAACTTATTAAAAATGGAAATGAATCATCTTTTGTGGGACGTACCAAAAAAGAAATTGAGTCATCCGTAGCAGGACGGAGGGAGTACTATTTTATTTCTAGTGATGTATAAATGTATTGACGTAAGTAAGTATAAATGTGAGAGTATCTGTAATGAATAAAAAATCTATATATACTTAAAAAAAAAATGATAGTTGTATTTTGATTAAAAGATGTACTTCCTCTGTTCCATTAAAAGGTTGTCATTTTTTATTTTGATTCGTCCCAAAACAAAGTTATCATTTCCTAGTTTAGTAATTGTATTACTTACCTAACATAATAAATACCCTTTTAACTTATACTATATTATACAAATGTCATTACTTTTATATTGCACAATACTAATAGGGTATTTTCGTCTTTTACACTACAATTCATTATAATACTAATATTAAAAAATATACGTACAAAAAGCAAATAGCAACCTTGCACCGGGACGAAAGGAGTATATTTTTTCTACAAAAAAGTTAGTAATGCATATTTTAAATTCTTTTTGTGAGATAATAGATGTATAATAGATATTAGTTAGAAAATATTTTAGAAGAATTGTAAAATTAAATGATAATTACAAATAAAATTGTTGCATTATATGAATTTTGATAAAAATACTCTCTCCACTCCATCTTAATTGACACTTCTTTCAATTTTGTCCATCCATAACAATTGATACATTATTTTGGGTAAATTTATTAAATCGAAACATACTTAACAAATATAAATCAACTTAATTAACTATATAACATATAATATCATACATATGTAGACTCACTCAAAACCCTTTTTATTTTTTATCTCTTCTCAAAAAATAAATATTTAATGTACATTTAAAACTTTACGTCTTTTATACAAGTAGTTTATGTTAACTATAAAAAAAATTAATGGTATTTTTTATTTACTTATATTATAGGAAATTTTATCCTCTGTAGAAATAATATTCATATTGTATATATTTTTTATTAAGATATAATTTTTAAAATATTTAAATATATATTCTAAATTATTTAAATCATATATATTAAATTTATTAAATATATATTCCAATATTAATAAGAGATAATAAAAGTAGAAGTGAGCAAAATATTCAAATCTAAAAATTCGATTCGAACCAAACCGAAATTTAAAATTTGATTCGGATTTTTCAGATCGGTTTGGATTAAAATTTTTATAAATTTTGGTTTTCGGTTCAGATCAGTATACTAAAAATTTAACCAACTCGAAACGAAATATAATATTTTCATGTAGTTTTTTTATAATATATTTAATGTTTTAATAAAAATAAAAACTCAAAATTATTAGTTATATTTTAATATACTTATTTCTATTTATTATCTATATTTAATATTATAAAACAATTATAAAAATCTATAATAAAATTTGACATTTAAAAAGATAATAAAAAAAAATTAGAATTTCAGATTTGTTCGAATTTTTCGGTTTGATTCGGATTTCAAATTTTTGGTTCAGATCAGATTGATTTAAAAAAAAAAAAAAAAAAAAAAAAATTGAATTTTTGTATCGATTTGAATTTGACAAAAATCAGAACAAAAAATCTGAACTTTAACCCTAAATAAAAGTTCAATATGTAAGCACATTTAAAGTAAATGTATCCCCTATCATTAAAGTAAATTTGGTGTCATGTTGTAAATGTTTTTAATACATTTGACTCCTTTGCTATCTCTATCAACAAAATGTGTGTGTATATATATATATATATATAGAGGGCGATAGTCGAAAAAATAAGTTTATTATTACATATAAATCTTCGATTTCATATCAAATACTTATGTATTTATTGGCGAATATGGCCGGAGAGGACTTACCAAAGCCTTCCCAATCCGGCCATCACGGTGTTGATATGTCTTCTGCAATGACCGGAATCACTTTATTTGGTGTCCGAATATGCACGTTAGAAAGCGATGATGTCGAATCCAAGACTAAGAAAACTCCGAATCTTCGAAGTTTGGAAGCTTCTAGAAGGCATGAAAATTCAAGGAACGCGACACTTCACGACTCTTTCAAATTGCGTCGCAAAAAGAAGAAAGGTTTGTGCTTTCTTTATTTTGAAATTGAATTCGATTGATAGATTGTGTTATTTTATATTTTTATTTTCGCTATCTTATTTTTTCTCCAAAATATATAAATCCAACGTTTATTTTCTAAACGAAAACTTACTATTTTACCATTTTTTTTTTCAAAAAAAAAATAACTATACAAAACAAGTTAAAAATAAAAATATACACTCCGATATTACTGGATAGATTGTTTCCGTTACTAATGATTTTTATTTTTATTTTTATTTTTTTTTTTGGTTATAAATTAGCAGATTTGTTATATGAAACTGAAAACATTATTGATTAGTTAAACGATGTCGATTTAAGGCTTAGTTGGAACAATAAATATTAAGTTGACTCAAATACACATTTAATGAAATTAATAGACAACACTTTAAAAGTAAACAATTACAATTAAAAAACATGATACCTAACTCTATTGTTTGTACTATTTGCATTTTATTATAATTTTTTACTAACTGTTTTATTATGGAGTCAATTAATTAAGTTCACCATTAACATTAATCTCTAAAGCTTTACAAACATTCAAATTTGATCATCAAATATTTGTAGCATTGCGCGACAATCAAATTATCACTAAACGGATTTCAAATGCGGATAATATTTCTTAGCTAGTAATAATTTCGATTGTTCTAATTCGATATCAAAAAAAAAAAAAAAAAAATGATATAGAAGAAAGCATCGTTTAGCGAGTTATACTAATTCATTTGATGAACAAGGTTACATTAATTTGAACTTACTAAAATAAATTATATGCATTATTGTCGCACTTTTTAGAGCTATGGTTGAACGACGAGCATAGATCATTCTTGGAGGGTCTTGAAAAGCTAGGAAAGGGTTCTTGGAAGGAGATATCGGCGAAGTATGTGCCATCAAGAAGCGCAGCTCAAGTAGCAAGTCACGCTCAAAAATACTTCATTTGGTTGGCGAAAACTAATAAGAAAAGACACAGTGTATTCGATGTTGTTAGCAATAAATGAAACATTTGGTATCGGATATTCCAAATGTAATTTCAAGTATATGTCTGATTCCATATTTCAAGCATTTGTATCGGGAATTTAGCTTTATTCACACCTTATTTTTTTGAATAGATGCATTTTTATATTAAATATAAAAAATTATGATAATTTAATATAATTATAAATATATACGTATTCTTTTATTGTTGAATTGAAAATATATATATATATATATATATATTACGGACGGTGGTCTAACTAGTAGCCAGCAAAAAAAACAACATTATTATCATTGTAAAGTGGTTTTGTTAATACTCCATCACCATTATTATTATTATTATTATTATTTTGTTGAATAGGAAAAAAATTTGTTCTGGTTGTTATACCTAATAATTGTATTTGAAAATAAAATGTTATCGAAACTCTTTTTGTTCACTAAACATTTTTGGATAAAATAATTTTTTTTTTTAAATATTACTAAAAAAATATAATATACATACATTAACACAATACATAACATATAAATATCTACTTATAAAAAATTAATAATTCTAAACATAAATATTATATTATTTATTTGAAAATAATATTTAAACAAATATATATCATTATACAAACAATAAAATTTTATATAATATACATATAATTAAAAAATAAATAAATAAATAACAAAAGTGGGGGTGCTCATGGGAAATAATAATTTATTAAACTTATATTAAGAACTCTGGAAAACCACTTTCTGCAGTCCTAACCAAAGAGAAGGTTCATAAATAACAAAACTTCCATCTCAAACTCAAAACAGAATCAAAAGTAAACCAATTTATTCCAAAAATATACCAATTTAAACAAAGCACACGACATGATTCCCTTTTTCCACAAAATGTGTAACGTTTTCCTTTTCTTTCTTTTTTTTTTTTGACAAGCACTAAGGAACACAGAAGATAAAAGGCAAAATAACAACCAAACACTACTTGGATAAGCAGTCAGTCTGTTGTAATTTGTACACCAAACTTAGAAGAGAGGATCAAATGTAGTAGAAAGAATTGGGCTAATATAAAAAAGACGTTGACGTAGAATGCTTCACCAGAGTGTGTGTATGGTGGAAGAGAAGACACCTTAACTCACAGAACTGATGGCAGTCGACAGCTAAGAGCAGCAGCCACTCTTCTGGGCAACAGGTTGTCCGCGAATCTGCACAGTTGGTGGCTTCGCATTACTTGAAGCAGGCTGACTAGCCATTCTGCATTTTAGTCGAGAAAATCTATGTATTAGTAATAAATACAAAAGACATAAGAAGCTAACTCAAGAAGACAAAGGTGAACCTTTTCTTAATATCAGCTGACATGGCCATGAAAGCCTGTTCGACGTTTGTGGCATTTTTCGCACTGGTCTCCATGAAAGGAATGCCAATTTCATCAGCAAATGCCTGTTTTTGCAGTAAAATGCGTTCATGATGTGTAATTTTCTTTTTTTTTTAACCTGTGGATTAGAAAATTTCTACCTTTGCGGTTTCATATGGCACAGCTCTATTCTCAGCAAGATCACTCTTGTTTCCCACTAGAAGCTTGTTCACGCTTTCGCTCGCATAACGATCAATTTCATTTAACCATTGCTTCACATTGTTGAAGCTCTCTTGATCGGTTACATCATATACGATCTGCCAGGACACAAGAAGTTGAAGTTGACCATGTATTTGGAATATTCAAGAGGCACAAAAGGAAGGAAACTGACTATAATGCCATGTGCGCCACGGTAGTAACTGCTAGTTATGGTCCTGAAACGTTCTTGTCCTGCAGTGTCCCACTGCAAGTAAAGAAAGGAAATAAGAAACATGAAACAAGTACATTTCATCAGATATAACCATTGGGGCAAACAAACCAAGCATGCCAAAAACTAGACAGACTCAAACCAATAGTGACTAAACTGAAAACAAGCCAAACGAACATCAAGAATCATATTAATAAGTCACACGACATGAAAAAAAGGACGGAAATACAATACAAGAAATTAGTCGAACACATTTCTGTCAAAAAATAAAAGATTCTTTACCAGAATCAACACATCTATTGGTCTCCCCAATTTTTAAAGGTGTAAAAATTAACCCCAGAAGCTTTATCTAGGGCATGCACAAATGTCCTTCAAAAGTTTATAACATACTCCCTCCCTCCACAAAATATATTCTCGCTTGAGCTGCTTCGAGTTTTAATGAATATAGTAATATTGATTGATTGAGACAAAATATGAATATTTTGAGAAGTATGTAAATGAATTAATGAAGTGAGAGAAAATTTGGATAAACTCTGTATAAATGATTGTGCTTATTTGTAAGTAAGCGTAATGTTGAAGAATAAACGAAAGGGTGTATAAATTTTTTTTGTTATAAATAGAAAATGTGTATATATATATATATATATTTGAACAAAAAAAAGAGAGAGAGAAAACAGGAATATATTTAGAGTGTGTTTGTTTGGGAGATTGGATTTTAAATACACTATTCATCCAATTTTTTTCCCCCAAAAACATCAAATCAAACACCTATTTTTTATTTTTTATATTATACTAAAAATCAATTTTACATTCAAAACATCACATCAACACCTATTTATATCACATCATACAACTATTCAAATTCAAAATTTTTACTATTTAAATCCCAACTCAAAATCCAAATCCCCAAACAAACACACCCTTAGTTAAGAGAGGGAGTGTTAAGTTTATCTCCAAAATACCAACAGGTAAAAGATCACAAAATGGCAACAATGATTCCACAGGATAACATGGTACAATTAGAACTCCCAAAGAATATGTAGTATCAAGCTAAGGAACTTACAATCTGAAGCTTTATAGTTTTTCCATCCTGTTCCACAGTTCGAATTTTCTGTTTACATTAAAAAGATCATTAGAACAGTGGTTGCGGTAGGAAATGTTGCCATTCAATTAGATCAGGCCCTTACAAAGTCAACACCAATTGTGCTGATGTAACTATCTATGTATGAATCATCCTGTAAGCAATTATCAGAAGCAAGGTCAGTAACTTCACAAATTCAACATTAAATTACATATTGAAGACAAAATGGACAATGAATTATTTACCAAGAGTAAGTATACTAATTATGATTCATCCTCTTTAACTGCTTAGGCAACTAGTGTGAATTGAGAAGAATGAATATTGCTACTGTATTTTTATTTTAGTGGCAAGGCACCTAAATACTAACAATTGCTTTACCAAAACATAAATAAACAAAAATTCAATACTATCAGATATGATTATATTGATAGAGGATGAACCAGCTAAACAACGACGACTAACACAGCCGATATCCATTATCTTTTTACATGAAAAACTTACAGCAAATCTGAGAAGAAGACATGACTTGCCAACACCCGAATCTCCAATCAGAAGCAGCTTGAACAAGTAGTCACTGAAAAATATACAGTACATACAAAAATAAGTTATCAGCTAGGTCAAATTATATCACTCAAGATAGCTAAAGCACATGGAATTAATCTCCACCCTAACATTCTGCAGGATCACAATACTGTTTTGAACCTAGGCCTGAGACGAGGAGATGATGCATCTGGTGTGATAGAAGGTAATACTTACTTTTCCAGGAGGCAATTTTCTTTAGTTCATAACAACAAGGTCGTGATTATTACCAGTACAAAAGAAGGAATGGTAGTTAAATATAGTTTTCCATACTAATAACTTAGAAGGCTTTAAACTCAATTTGCAATTAGCTCGACCATCTCAGGTAATGTCTGTTTATCTGTCTGTGTATATATAGTAATAACTTATCGAACACAATTCATTAAATGGATATATACTCATAACAGAAACTAGTAAGCTAGACATTAAGTAGAGCCGAAAAACAAAAGCAGCCTAATAAGGTGCAGTTCTCACGAAAATTAGTGGTTCAAGTGATCAAACCCCGAACACTAACCCTCATCAAAAACAGATTTCTTGAATAAGAAATGGATTATTCAAATTCTATAGATTTAACTATTCAGGCGGCGCATGAAAAATATGCATATATACGAATTATAATCAAATTCACAAAAAAGGATCCTCGTCACTAAATAAAAGGAACGATTTTGGCTCTAAAAAGGGAAAATTCCTCGGATCTAAAATCATCCAGCCGAAAACTGAACGAAATTGAATAATCACACAGATTCCAGTCCAATCCTAATTGGATCTAATCAAATCCAATATCACACACAACAAAATGCAATTAACACAACAAAAATCATGCCCAGCCACTCCATATGCCGTAATAAATCTCAAAAGTGATAAGAAATATACTATTCCGGATTCATGATTGCAGGCAGTGATTCGACGAACTGAGGGCGGGGCGGGGATACTCTCCTTCCGAAGGACGACGGACGCTCGCAAGAAGGAACAACGCCGGAGGGGTTGACCGGATCGGAGTTTGGAGGTTTGGCGTGAGAAATCAACGAGAAATATAAATACAATCGGGAGATGAAATAATGGCTGAAAATGCCGCTGCGTGTGATTTATAGGCAGGGTACCGACAGCGCACGATTGCGGCAGACGCCCTCCAACTTTTACTAATTACACTTTGTACCCATAAAAATGTTTGCCATTATCATCTCACAGATAGAGATGGCAATAAATTGTACATCAGATCGGCAAGGATATGGAAGCTCAACCAAAATGAATTAGATATACATTATATGATAATTTAATTTAGGAAAAAAGTTGTTTTGATCACATTATGAATTATAATAATTAGTTTTAATTTTATTGAAAATTTTATCAATTTTTGTCACGAACTAAATAAAGTCGTATTAGATTGAATACGACCTTATTTGGATGACTAAAAATAAACTTTATAAACAGTCAATACAATTGTATTTGGTTAAGAGGCGGATATTTAATTATGACTATATTTAAATTTGTTTAATAAATATATTTTAATTCAATTAAAATATTTTAAATTATTTTAAATATATAAAAAATTATCAAAGTTTAATATTTTTAAAAATATTTACAACGTGCCGTGAACCATGACCATGAGATCAGGTTTAAGTCCTCAATCGATGACCATGTCACCAAAAAAGTCACCCACAATGCAATAATTCATTTCAATCACGCATAAATTTTTTTAAAATTCATTAAAAATTGATACTTTTATTAATTTTTCAGTATAATAGCTTGAAATTTCCTACTCAAGTTATAAAAATTAAGTTCCAACTTTTGGCCAGAATTTCATTAGTCTGCTGTTAGATTTTCTCCTCTAACTAATGTATAATATGATAAAAATAAAAAATTAAGTCACCGTGACGTCATGGGTTCAAATCCCCAACGCCTCAAGTCACCTACCTCCCATAGTTCGCCTAGTGTGACTTTTCCGTCGGGCCTGGTTTGCAGGGTATTATGTTCGACAATAACTATTAGAAGTGTGGGATTTACAGAAGGTACAAAGATACATAATATACTTTGTTCTAACCTAAAATTTAAACACAAACATACATCAAAACACACATTTCCCATAGTTTTCTTACCTATTTTACCTCATGTCTCTATTTCCATCGTATTACTACACACAAAAAAAGACCTCTGCAAGAACAAGTTTGCCAAATGAAATAAATCCATTTCTTAATTGCAATAAAAACTACTGCTCTTGCTGCTTCTACTGATAATCCATCCCAAAATCACGATCTAATCCGAGGAAACTTGGCTGTTATTACAGCATCTCCAAGCTTCTCCTTGTCGATATCGCCCATATGCGCCGGCAGATGGCGATGGCCGTGGCTGTCCAGATCACCGTCGATCGCCATTCCCTTAACCTTCTCTCCTATTGCCACGTCGCCTCCGGCGCTAATATCTGCATGCACAGATACAAGATTATCGGATTCGTCGCCCCCATTGTTGTTGAGCACAATTCAGACACGAACATAATGTATATATATATATAGGGCCAGTTAGGGTGCTGATTAGAATCTGCTTAGCCTTAATCAGCGCATATAGTAATAATTCTTTCCACATATGCTATAATTAATCTCAGCTTAAGATCCATGTTTATATAACATAAATTACTGAGAACATATGATAATAACTTATATAGCACATGATTTAATTTCAGCTGTACGTTGAAAAGTTGTTTCGTGTAAGGAGGTTTTTTTGTTTTTACTTGGATTGGAGAAGAGCCATAGAATAAATCCGCAAAGGAGAAGAACTAGAGGAATCAAATGGACAGCCTTCTCGGCGAATTTGGCGCGCGCTTTTTCCTTCTTGGCTGGATCGGATTGGGGCTCGTACGAGGGGAGCTCGAAAGACTCCCCCGACAGAGCTCTTAAGGCTGTCGGGACTTTTGATGACGGGGACATCGTGTAGTAACTGTAATGGTCATCTATTACGCGGCTCGTGCTGGCTGAACGATGCATTTTCGATAACTCAAGAAAGACAACAGGGACAAGGCTTGTTAGAACTTCAATTGTAGGATTGTGATCAAGTTTTTATGTCAAGGCCTAATAAACACGACGACAAGACGATGTTGAGGGATCGATGCGGATCGATTGCGACGAGTACGTGTCGTGAATTTAGATGCTCCCGTTGCATATACGCTAAGCGTTGATATAAATAGAGGCGTTGGGAGAGCCAGAGATTAGCTGTTTTTAAGGTTGTTCTTACACATGTTAAAAGGTTTCTATATTTAGCTGTTTTCTTTCCCCTTTTTTCGCAGCTTTGGATAAGATAAAGATAAAGATTTGTCATAACAGATACATAGATAATTAGCAATCCCCCTCGTACATGAACCGGACCCGATCAAGACAGGCCCTTTCGAAAACAACGACCAAGATCGAAAACGATAAGTCGCCGCTGTCTTCACTGTCTGAAACAGTGAATCCGGCCGAGCAAAAAACGTCGACTACATGCGAATTTTAAGCGTGTTGAGAAAGCTACAGCCTTCGCCGATGTCGTTCTCCGAAATGAAGTTCAAGAAGTCGCGGAAACTGCTCCGCCGATACTTTTCGGGATTTTCAGCGTCGACCAGTTCCCGGGCAGCCTCGACTTTTACGTCCATGCCGAGGCTGTGGAGGCTGGCGAGCGAAAGGCGCGGCGAGTCATCGCTATTAATGGTGACCTTATGGGCGACGCTTTTGTAGCGCCCGTTGCTGACGACCTCGAGGTGATCCCCGACGTTCACCTGGAGGGCGCCGGGGATCATCGGGACTGTCTTCCACGACATGTCTGATGAGTCGAGGATTTGCAGCCCCGACGAGTCCTGCAGGACGATCGTCAGACAGCTGTAGTCAGAGTGCGGCGGCAGACCCAGCGCCGGCTGCGGGCACGGCGGGTAGCAATTAATGGCCATCACTTGCATCCCGTCGTCGAGCTCGGTGCTCAGATACGAGCCCCCGAGCCCGAGGCCTTCCGTTAGCGCCGCCATTATCGTCCGAGCTAGCTTTTGAACTTCGACGACGTATTCGCCCATTTTCTCCCTATATAGCCGTCGAATAAAAAATGACGATTTTTTTTTTCTGATTCTATGAGTATAAATGTGAAGATACCTGTAATCAGAGGGGGTGTCGGGCCAGAGCCCGACCCAATCCCGGAGGGGGTGGGCGTAGTGCTTGAGGAAGACTCGCCGGAAAGGGACCCGCCGGTCGATTCCGAGGGTTGTCCCGAACCGGACCGGATTGTGGACGTCGCTCGACATGAACTTCGCTTTGTCGTTGTACGGTAGCTCGAAGAAGCTCGCCGCCACAGACAACGCCCCGTCCAGCGTCCCCTGCGGGACGCCATGGTTGATCACCTATTTTTTTTTTTTTATATACAACAGCCGCTACTCTTTGAGTATGCAGTTTAAAATAACATACATTGTAACAATCAACATCATTAACTTAAAATTTTAACTTACTTGAAAGAAGCCATTACTGGTGCAAGCACGCACAATCTCTTCAACAATAACAGTTCTACGCACAGGATGACACATTCCCTTGAAGTCAATCAAAGGCACCTTGGACACCTCCGAAACATCATTATTCTTATCCAAATGTTTAAATTCAGACACATCCAAAGGCACCTTGGACACCTCCGAAACATCGTTATTCCTATTCAAATGTTTAAATTCAGACACATCCATGATTCTCGCTTTAAAGAAAATATTAGAATGAACATTGGCAACAGAGGAGGCTCTGTATTTATACGCTGCAAGTTCAATGCACGAGGGTGTGTAGTGAGCAAAATTTACACTACATTCTTGTATCTACAAAAAAAACATGACAAATTAAGAATTATATATATATACACATACATATATATATTAATCTTCTTCAGATTCATGAACGATCTTGAGGCTACTATATATAGAATGTGTGTCCGAACATGTATATAGTGTCCGAAAGCGAGAACAAGTGTGCGAGTGGGAAGTTTCGGCGTGCTGACGACGAATGGATTAAATAAACGGCAACTTGGCATTACTGATCGATAATACGCAGTTGCAATGTTTCTGGCCACACGGGTTCTTCGACCTGGTCCAGATTCATTCGACGATGGTATCCGACAAATCGAACCTTTTATCGGGGATTCCGAAAAGGGGGAGTTGGTGCAAGAGGATTGGCTAAGTATGACACACAGTAGTGTACTACTACTGGTTGATTATGATCATCGTCATCATCGTTGTCATTTCTTAATTTCCAACTTCCATTGATGGATCGATCGATTTAGTTGTTTTTTTTTTTTTTTTTTTTTTTTTTTTTTTTTTTTTTGATTTAGTTGTTGTTTGTAATTGTAGTAAGTTGTTTTTAATGTTATCCAGATTGACATGCTTTACTTATAGTCAGTCGGGCATTGCGTGAGCAGTGGCGTAGCTAGTAGGGACGAGGGTGTTTGGCTTTAATTATTTTAATGAAAATATTATAATTATAAATATTCTATTTAAATATTAAAAAAATAGTTTAAATATTCAAAATATTAAGATATATTTTGAGAAAAATAAATCGAAATTATAATTGGTTTTTTTTTAAAAAAAATAAAAGTAAAAATTTAGTTTTAAATTATTATGTATTAAAAAAAATTTGGCACTGCAAAGTTTTTTTTACTATTGACTAGTGTGCTTTTTATAATTTGATTTTAATTTTTATAAAAGTTTGAATATAAAATTTTATATTTAAAATGATGGGAAGACAATATGTAAATGCTAATTCTCAAAGCTTAAATATTGACTCTTAATATACTCCCTCCGTCACATTGAAATTGTGATATTTATTTTTTCAGATAAATTTTTAAATATTAGTATTATATTGAATTATAGTAAAAAAAATAACAATATACTGGTGTAATATAAAAGTAATGTGTAAGTTGAAAGAGTATTTATCATGCTTGGTAGATAATACAATTACTAAAATGATAATTGTTTTTGGACAGACGAAAATAGAAAATTGTAACATTTCAATGGACAGAGGGAATATAAAATATAGATTAATTGTATAATATTTATATTAATATAATATATGATATTATTGAACTTCATATATGAAATATGAATTTACAATATATATTTATATTTGATGTTAGAATCTAACGTTGTTGTTGTTTTTTTTTTTAATATTAATATTTTAATATTAATTATTATATTAAAATATAATACAAATTAAAAAAATTAAAAAACATTCAATTATTGTCTTATAATATTAATAAAAGAACTTTTGTAAAAAAAATATTATATAAATATAAATATATTTTTAATATTAAGTATAACTACACAAAAAAAAATTACTTTAAAGACGAGTGAAGGAAATATAATATTTATATTTTTTCGAATTGATATTTAAATATTAAATATAAATTTAAAACGTAATATAAATTTAAAAAATTCAAAAATACTCTATTATTGTCTTATAATATTAATAGAGAAAAACTTTTGTAAAAAAATATTATATAAATATAAAAATATTTTTAATATTCAATGCAATTACACAAAAATAAATTTTACTTTAAAGACGAACGAAAGAAATATAATATTTATATTTTTAAAAATTATCCAACTTAAATGAAAGGCTAAAGTATTTGGTATTCAATTGATAACTTTTTATAAATAAATATGACGCATAATATATGCTACTGAAGAGTATATCAAATATTTTATTACGTCTCAAAAGAATAGTCATAGGGAAAAATTAAGTAATATTATTGACACTGGGTGTAAAAGTGATTTTAAAAAATCAAATACTTATTTTATGTAATTATTATTAAAAAATTGAGATAATTTTGTAAAATAAAACAGGGAGTTGGTTACTAAAAAGTAAGGCTATTGTTTTAAGACGGACGAAAATGAGAAAATAATATTATTATTTTGGAAAATATATTTTGTTATATGAACTTAGTAAAGTAGCTTTAAACGATTAAAAAATAATAATATTAACTAATAGAAATGTGTATAATTTTTGACATTTTTATTCATATATTTATAATTTAAATAAAATTTTTAAAAAAAATTTGGTATTAAGTATATAATTATTAATTTTTTTTCAAATATAAAAATAATACTTTAAAATGACATGTACAAAATGCTCTAAAAGAATATTTTAAAATTTATATATAAGTAAATAAATAATTATATAAAAAGCCCTAATCCAAAGCCCTTCTCTGCGCCGCCTTCGTCTTCGTCCGCGTTTCATCTTCATCGATCTCCTCTTCGTCTTCATCGATACCCTCCTTCCTCTTCTCCATCTCCCAACTACACGTCTTAGGGACAAATAGGGGAATTGAATTGATTTGTCCTTGCAGCATTGGCCATGGCGGACGGAGAGAACGTTGACGAGTTCTACCTGCGGTACTACGTGGGGCACAAGGGGAAGTTCGGCCACGAGTTCTTGGAATTCGAGTTCCGACCCGACGGGAAGCTAAGATACGCGAACAATTCGAATTACAAGAACGACACCATGATTCGGAAGGAGGTCTATCTCACCCCCGCTGTCCTCAAGGAGTGCCGTCGAATTGTCGCCGATTCTGAGGCAAGCGTTGTCTTTGATTGTTATCCTCCATTTTTGTACAGTTAGGGTTCGCGTTTTGTACGGGAAGAGTTTATTAGGGCTTTTTGCGTTGCAGATAATGAAGGAAGATGATAACAACTGGCCGGAACCCGACCGGGTCGGAAGGCAGGAGCTGGAGATTGTGATGGGGAACGAACACATTTCCTTCACTACATCGAAGATTGGCTCTCTTATGGATGTTCAGACTAGCAAAGACCCCGAGGGTTTGAGAATCTTTTATTATCTTGTTCAGGTATGTCTTTGATTATTATTTTCCCTGTTACATCAACATCTTGTATAGTAAAAGTTTTTCTTTGGTAGGGAATGTGATTGATGTTAAATTTGTATTGAAATGTCAGGATATGTGTGTATATATATGTTTTTGTGTGCAATCGAAACTATTCAGACTTGAATTCAATCTGTTTGGAAGGAAAGAACTTATGCTTGAAATCTCAATGAGCCTGATTGTGGAATTATAAATTTGTAATGTTATTTTATCCCCTTCAATGTAACTATTATGGTTGTCGATTAGTTTTGCTAGAAGTGATAGGAGACAGTCTCTTGAATGTTAAATTGGTATTGGAATATTAGGATATGTGTGTGTATAAATGTTTTTTTGTGTAATTGAAACCATTCAGTCTTGAATCCAATCTGCTTGGATGGAATAAATTTATGCTTGGAATCTCAATGAGCCTGATTGTGGTTGTCGATTAGTTTTGCTAGAAGTGATAGGAGACAGTCTCTTGAATGTTAAATTGGTATTGGAATGTCAGGATATGTGTGTATATATATGTTTTTGTGTGTAATCGAAACCATTCAGACTTAAATCCAATCTGCTTGGAAGGAATAAACTTATGCTTGGAATCTCAATGAGCCTCATTGTGGAATTATAAATTTATAATGTTATCTTATGCCCTTCAATGTAACTATTATGGTTGTCGATTAGTTTTGCTAGAAGTGATTGGAGACAGTCTCTTGAATGTGTGATTGTAGGAGATAAAATGTAAAATTATATAAGATATTCATATGCTATGAAGGATATGGAAATATTTGAGGCTTTGTTTTACCTATTGAGTGCTGAGACATGCTCTATGACTAGAAGCTTCGAGATTGTTCTGGTACTGTGAGAAAATGAAGAAATATATAGAAGACTAAATATGTAATTGAGGGTTCATCATTAATAACTAGACAAGGACGAAGATTTCTTTGAGCAGTGTGGCTGTCTAGTTTTCTTAAGATCATATTCGGTTGCCAGTTACATTTTTTAAGGGAAAAGAAATATGTATATATATATGTATGTATGTATTCGCAGATTTATTTTTTATTATGCACTTATTACAATCTTGTAGGCTATGATAACTACATAACTGTGTAATGATCACATGATGTGTAGGGAGACGGGATGGGTAGTATTTAAAGGTGTGTTTGTTTGTGGGTTTTGGCTTTAGGTTTTAAATAGTACAATTTTGAATTGAAATAGTTGTTTGATGTGATTTTTTTACACTAAAATCTAATATAATAAATAAAAAATAGGTATTTGATATGTTTTTGGGGGAAAAACTTTTTGGAATAGTAAAACCTTTCAAAAACCCCAATGGTTGAGTAATTTAGATTGAATGTTTGCCTGTATATAATAGAAAGAGGTAAGCTTTGGAGGATTATGGGTTTGTTGCAAATTTTGATTTGTGTTTTCCATCGGTTACAATCAAATAAAGATGATGCACAAATAATGGGATTTTCACACGTTCTTGTGCAATACTGCAAGTTTCTCACCATGATAATGTTAGGGGTTACGACTAGGTATTTATTGTCATGTTATATAATCTGAATTTTCTTGTACTGCCACATTGTACTTGAATCGAGCTAATTGTACCGTGCAATACATAGTTCCTACATAAATACTTACACCCTGAAAAGCAGACTTACATTCAACTCCTATGAAAATTGCCTCCCTCTCATATATTCGATTTATGATGTTTTTTCTTTGTGCTGCTTCCAAATATGAGGATTTTTTTTTTTCTCATATTTTGCAAAAATAAGCTAGCCATGTATTTTGTTGATGCAGGATCTGAAATGCCTTGTTTTCTCTCTGATCTCGCTGCACTTCAAGATCAAACCCATATGAAGATTGGATCTCTGTGCTATAGAAAGATGAGCAGTCTGATATCATTGCTTTCATGCATCTTTCTTTTATTGATCATTTTCTGGTGTTTTAATTCAGAATGTTCTGAATAGTGATGCTACTACTGTACTTTTGTCGATACCCTGGTTATGTTGTGTTTCAAATGACACATGCGATCCTATTGTTTGACATCCCGAAGTTCAGATATATACTGTTTGAAATTGAATTATGATTGTCCTTGTTTGTTTGGTTTTGGGTTGAAACTTGAATGTTAGATTTGAATTTTGATTTAAGTACTGTTGTGAATACCCCGTGATTTCGGTTTCAAATAGAAGCAAAACAGATTTTGTTGGCAGACTAGTTTCTAAAGTCAAATTATTGGGTTACTTCTGCTCAACTCCCTGCCAAACTTGTTATATATATATATATATATATATAGAGGGAGAAAGATAGATTTATATATCTAGAGAGAGAGACAACTGCCCTGTCTTTCTTTGATAACTTTTTTAACGTTTGGCGATCTAATTACAACCAACAGCTCGAAACATCCATATCGATTCTTGGGGATATAAGGGCCATGAACTTTGCCTGTTTGCTGCCAGTCCGAAAATGGCAAATCTAGTTTATGTATTGCTGTCTGCATTTTTGGTGTTGTCCTGTGCTTATCTTTGCAGGGCAACAGTTCACACAGTAGGCGACAATTCCGGCTGGGACATCAGCACCGATCTCGATTCTTGGTCCAAGGACAAGACATTCTCTGTCGGCGACACCCTCTGTAAGTTCCATCTCAAAGGATTTTACTTTCCATTGGACGACAAAACTAGAGTCGACAAAAACTAATACGAAATGACAATTCGATACGAAATAATTAAATTTGAGTCAAGATTTCAACCCGATTATGTATATGGGTTGACAAAAAATTGGCACGATAATAAACGGTTTGCGTTCATGTTAGGGTTGAGGCTCTCAACTCGAATCTGACACGACAATCCTTTTATATAATATTAATATACGCAAAATACTATTTCTGTCTAGCTCTTAGGGTTTTATTTACTTTTTGTTGCGATATTTGAATATTAATTATTAGATAAAAAACGTAAAAGGTAAATATAACCCTTAGACGCCGACAGAAAGAGTATAATTTAAAATTTAAGTTCAATTTTAAATAATTCAACTTAATTTATTGGAGATATTACCCTAGAACTAACAAAAACAACATAACAAAACAACATGACAAAAAATAATTGAATTTGAATACAGGATTTTGACTTAATTATGAATACGGGTTAACACGAAAGAGGCGGATTAGGATTGAGTTATTTAACCTGTTTAAAATATTCAATATGATATGAATCGATGCTCTAGATAGAACCTTGATTGTGTTTTCAGAATTCTTCAGGGTTTCGACATGCGCCTGATCCTTCTGTATTTTCCTTGCTAGTGTTCCAATATTCTCAATACCATTCGGTGAGCGAGGTTACGGAGGAGAAATACAAGGGATGCAACGTGACCGATGCACTGCTATCGAGCAATAACGGGAACACGACGGTTGCCCTGACGGGACCGGGTGACCGTTACTTTGTCTGCGGCAATCGACTGCACTGTCTGGCGGGAATGAAGCTTCATGTTAATGTTGTCCGAGGGAGTCTGGTCGAGTCGCCAGCTGGCGCTCCAGAGGCTCAGCCTGGCGGCGGTCTCCCGCCGCCGGGAACCTCCAAAGCCAATGGCCCTGAAAATTCTGCTGCTTCCGGCCGTGTTAGTACGGACAGTCTGGTCCGTGTGATGTTCGGGGCGTTTGTGGCCTCGTCGATGCTGATGTGAATACAATATGCAATATATCTTTTTCCCTAATTATTTATCTCTTTGTCTTGCAAAGTTTTAGAGTGAAAATGAAGATATTATAGAAAATTTATTAACAAATTAATAAATAAAAAAGTAGAGCAAATAATGGAATGAAAACTTTTTAAATAGCTTAAAATGATAAATATCCTTAACTATATTACTTCATTTGTTTTAAAAACACTACGGATATTTAAGATGGACACGAAAATTAAAGAATAATAATATTATATTGATAATAAATGTAAAAATATTTTAAAAAAATCAAAATGCTCTGATTATTGTTAAAAATAAAGATAGTTTTATAAAAAGTTGAAAAGGTAGTTATTAAAAATGAAAATGAGACTATTATTTTGTAACGGATAAAAATGACAAAATCGAATTATTGTTTTGGGACGAATAGAATATTATCTTGTCTTTTTTTTTTTTTTATTTTGTTGATAAAATATATTTTACATATTTACAAAAATATTGTAATGGTGTGTTTGTGGGTTTGAAATTTTGGGTTTAGATTTTTAATAGTAAAAAATTGAATATAATTATTTAAAATGATATAAATATATATTTATGTGATATTTTAAATTTGAAATAAATTTATAATATAATGTACAATAAAAATGTGTGATAAAATTCACGAGAACGCCAACCTAAATTTCGTCCTCTAGCATTTTATATAATACAAATAAATTAATAAAAAGAAAATATCTATTTATAATTAATACAAATTAATACTCAAATTATATTATTACTAATTTAATTTAATATATATATATAGATATATATATATATATATATATATCATTACATTTTCTTAATTAAGGAAGGCTACCTTTAAATTCTCAGTTCCCAATCCTTTCCATCCCTAAATTCTCCGTTCCCTCTCGCTACCTTTCCTGTCTTTGGATCGCCAGGTTTGGACTGGGCGGCGGTCGGTTTGTTTCAGGTGCCGGACGGCGGGTGGGCTGTTTCTGGGTAGTCGAGTTGGCATTCCAGAGGTGCCGAGAGTTACCGATACGGAAATCGGGTACATTCAGGTTAGCTATTGATTCTCTCTCTCTCTCTTTTTTTCCTCTCAAATTTGGGAATTGGGGTTTAGGTCTTTTGGTCCAATTGTTTACAATGGTGGAGTCGGGTTCGTTCAATTCATGCCCTTACTTTCAACTTGTCTCTTTCATATGATAATTTGTTTCAATTTCCTTGCATTTTCCTGTTGGATTGATAGCCATTGCTTTCAGTTTTGGTTGAACCGATATCCCTTGCAATTTGATTGCTTGTTTTAATCTGATTTGCATTCACTTGCAGCATCATTCTGTTTTTACATAAACTTAATTTTTTTAGATCCACCATAGGAATAGCCAATATTTTATGCAAATTAGCGCAAGATATATTCCTATTTGATTCGGTACTAGGCATTTATGACATCTAGCATATCATTCTGACCAATTAGAATATGATAAATCTCATTTTGATCTTAATCTTTTGCTTGATCTGACAATGGATTCTTAGAGACCCTATTTGTTATTACATCTAAATGGGATTAAGCTTTCAACTAGGCACTGAATACTAGATTTAGATTGGCCCTAATGGTTGCAGACCAAAACCACATTTTGGTTGTAACAATTTCTACAAGCATTCACCTTGCCTTTGTACTTCTACTCTTACATGTTCCACTATAAAATCTAATTGTTCAGAAAACAAGAGCAAACTTCATGTATTCCAATTCATGATTGTGATAGTTGTTAAAGGCCCCATCCAATGTTTATAGCGATCCAATATGATGGGTAAGGCTCCCTAGAAAACATACTAGTGGTAGTTGTAACAGCTGTCGGTCATTGATGTTGATAGTATCCAAGTGAATGCTCTCGTGATTGAAACATTTTGTACCATGTCAACTCAGGGTTAATTGGCATCTAATGCATACGCGATTGGTAGGATTGTTTTTTTTTTGGGTAATATGCATCTTTGTAACTAACTGCATAAAGGGCACAAAGTAGCTTTTTATGTCGGACACAACAAGTATATTAATAATGAATAAAGTAGAATAAAGTTACTTAAATTACAAGCTTAAGGAAATAACAAATTAATTAGTAATTAACATATACCATTTTTAATAGACATACACTATTTTCTCTCATATAACATCACATCAAAATATTATTTCCATTTCAAATCAATTTAGAACTACAACCAAACAAAATGATTTGTTCTTTATGGTTAGCCCTTCTTCATGTGGAAAGACTTGGTAATGTCAAAGGAATATTGAAGTTTCGGGGTTGTCTCCTTTCGTCGAGTAGGCCTTAATGCGGGGAATGTACAAAAAATACTGTAATAAAAATAGCTAATATATCCAACTAGTCAAACCAACTAATTGAATTAAAGGGAAATGAGTTTTAAAGGGCAATGGGGGAAAACTGAAATAAAGCATATTGTGAGGCAAGGATCGAATGCAATCCTCGAGACATAGTAGAAAATAGTGATGAGGCAAAAAGATTTGTTAGTAAGAATAGTTATTTAAAAACCAAGGATCAAAGGCACTCCCCAAGACATAAGATCGAAAGCTGAGCCATTTTGGGTCCAAGCTGATACAAAAGTGCATCTCACAAACAATACAAGAAATCCTTAAAGCTGTAATGAACACTTCAAGATGTTCAAAAGGAAGCGAACCATTTTGGCTCCAAGGTTTAGCCCTCAACAAGGTATATATACTAAGTGACTAAGTGAAACTAAGTAGCATTTTAATGCACACCTTTTGGTCTCCATCTTTGAAAGCTTCATAAAGAAGTCTTTTGCGAAAAATGGTGGAAGTTGAAGCCAGGTACCCGGGCAAAACAAGGAGATAAAGCTTCAACACTGGGAAACATATTAGAAAATAAGGTGAAGAAGGTTAGGGCATGGAGCTCGGCCATGTTCGAATTGATAGGAGTCGAATTAAGGAGGGAGAATCATCTGCAACTAAATGTGATAAGCAACATCCTGAGAATGGTTTAAAATCTTTAGGTCAAAAGTTTCTCTTTAGGAGATGATAGGCAAGACAAGTCATTGGCCAAGTTCACGAAAGGTTCAAAGACTACTAAAAGTTATTCCAATATTCATGTGTTTAAATGCACCAAGAAGCGGGAAGAACTAATTAATCTAACTCCTGTGAAGCGTGATGATCCTCAAGGATACGCAGTGAAGAATGTTCTAAAGCTGTTCGAAGAGACGCACAATCAGCTGCTGGAAAAGAAATTGAAGGCAAGAAAAGAAGGAAAAAAAATGTAAGCATACTCACAAAGATGCAGCCAAATATCTGAAAGAACAGGGAATGTGCTTGTCTCACGAGAAACCTTTTGGTCATATACCTGGTGTAGAAGTTGGTGATGTGTTCATATTCAGGGCAGAACTTGTGGTCGTTGGCCTTCATTGCCACTTGATGGAGGGCATAGATTACATTGCGCTCGATGGGAAAATCTACGCTACAAGTATTGTGAATTCGGGGTGCTATACAAATGAGGTTAAATCAAGTGATGTTTTGGTGTACTCAGGGCAAGGTGGGAATCCACATTTCACTCATAAACTTGTTTATCAAAAACCTGAGAAGGGCAATCTAGCGCTGATAAATAGCATGGAAATTGGATATCCCATACTACTCACTACTAAAAGAGACAAGTGGAAAGAATTGAAGGTTTTGGGTATGAGGAAGAAGGACAATACCATATATGTTCATGATGGACTATACACTATACATAGATGTTGGCAACAGAGGGATCAATATGGCAAGAAAGTGTTCAAATTTGCATTACATAGAATACTAAACCAACCGAGAACTCGCCAAGGCAAAGCGAAATCAATGAAACAAGTGATGCCAAATGAAGTTTGCATTATAAATGATATATCGTACGGGAAAAAGAAGTTGCCAATATGCGCAAGGAATGGTGTGGATAATGATCGGCCACGATCTTTCACTTACATAACCAACATTATGTATTCCTCTTGGTACAAATGCATTCAGCCTATTGGTTGTGATTGTGTTGGTGGCTGCTCGGATTCTCATCCATGCACTTGTGTTTCCAAAAATGGAGGTGAAATCCCATTCAACAAGAACAATATGATTGTCAAAGCTAGACCTATTGTGCATGAGTGTGGCCCGTCTTGCACATGCCCCCCTACTTGTATGAATAGAGTCACCCAACATGGCCTTAGATATCGGTTCGAGGTATTTAAGACCAAAACTCGAGGTTGGGGTTTGAGGTCAAAAAGCTTCATATCAGCCGGAAGTTCTATATGTGAATACGTTGGGGAATTGCTACAAGACAAGGAAGCTGAACGAAGAATTGGTAATGATGAATATCTATTTGATATTGGTGTTGGTCGCGGTGATGATGGATTTACTGTTGATGGTGTCAAGTTTGGGAATGTCGCGAGATTTATCAACCACAGTTGCTCCCCTAACTTGTACGCTCAAGATGTTCTTTATGATCACGGTGACAAGAGAATGCCACATAATATGTTCTTTGCATCCAAGAACATCCCTCCTCTAATGGAACTTTGTTATGATTACAATAATAAGGACTCGGTTTGTGAACATAACGGAAAGATCAAGGCGAAAGATTGCCATTGCGGTTCAAGACAACGCACCGATAGGATGTATTAGAAGTCATAGTTCAACCTTAGTTCTTGTGGTTCTCTGAGGATTACCAAAATACTTGAAGTGCATCTTGCATTCAGCAGCAACAATCATGTTTCCCCCTGCTTCTACACGATTCAGAGTTTTCAGCGCTGCAAGCTTTGTTTCATTGCTGTAATTACCCTTTTCCAACTTACAAGAACTGTGTGAGAGAACTTGATCTCTTCTTTTGAGTTCTTCATATTTCCCGTACTTTATGTCAAACAGATCTATAAATTCTTTAGCATCCGCCATCCTGGCATCAAGATGTCCCAAAATTTAAGTTGATGCTCCCGGAACTTATTTTTGGCACCAATCTCATTGCCATTAGCCAACTTCAATCCATCACAATCCTCGTATGAGCCGGTTGAAACTGTGATGGAATATCATCCTATTCAAGAAAAATATCTTGCACACAATGGTTTAAAATATAAAAAACTAAAAATAAAAATAAATTGATAATTAAAATTAAAATAAGACGAAAATTAAAATAAATTGAAAAAAAAATAAGAAAACCTTTAATCAAAATATATGGATATTAATTGAGAAAAAAGAAGGCAAAAAAGAGTAAAAGTTAAAATGGAAAAAATTGAGTACAAAATAGATTGTTTTTGTCTGTCCATGATATAACACAGTTGCTGCTGCCCGCAACAATTCTTGACAATGGAATGCAAGCGTTGATCATGAAGTGAATGAGCTAGCCAACGAACAAGTAATTCATAGTCTTGAATTGTAATTTAGCTTTCCTTTTGATTTTGGTACTTCTTGATGAGTTTGCCCGATCCATGAGTTGTAAATAATGTTGTGGAATTAAGGTTTTTCGTTATTCTAATTTTCTAATGTAATTGTTCAAATTTACTGGCAATCTCTTCAAACTCTATATATTGATTTTGCACTATTGATTTTTAAGTTTTTCTTTTATTTTTTGGTCGCTGTGGATGCAATTGCAGAAGGGAGGATTTCCTGTTTTCATTCTGAATATTCATTGTTTTCATATGGGTGATAATAGATGACAACTCCGTATAGTAATCACTGGGCGCCGTTTCGCAAGCTTTCGTCAAAATGCGGCAGTGTTAGCTCGCCTTTGAGAATAGGGTGCCATGTCTCTCCTATACAAGCTTGCCTGAAGGCCTCGGATTTAAGTTTGCATTTAGAGACTAAGGTAATATCTTTACCCCTGTTTCTATTTTAATTGATAATGCCCTAGTTCTTTTTACAATTGCTCCAAGTTCTTGCTTCGTTTTTATGTTTGAATTATCTATGCTCAGAAATTTGGCTCCACTGAAGCAATGTAGAAAATTAAATTATTCAAATAGATTGTTGAATATTTTTGATGGTTTGATTGCTTCAGTAGAAATAAAAGCTTCAAGGATTGGGTTGTGTTTAGTTATTTAGTTCCTTTTTTTTTTGTTTGGGTCCTTCGTCTTAGTGCTTTTGAGATGTTAAACCAGACAAGGCAGGTGTCTACCGTTGGTCTGGTTGCGGAGACCGTTGAGTGTCTGGGATAATAAATGAATACTTGTAGTCCCTCAGTAATCTAATCTTGATGATTACTTGAGCTACATCTAAGTATCACATTTTAAGAAGTTCCATTCCGTGCACCTTTTCTTCAAGTTGACAAGCTCCCTTGGTGTTATCATTATGATTGCATAAACTTTATCCGGATAAGCAGTATCATTTGTGTTGAAACCTGTGAAAATAGTCACACTCTTTACTTAAACACCATAAATGGCTTATGTTGGAAATGTTCAATTATTATACTATGATTACTTTAGTGGAATAAAAAGCTTTAGAGATTTGGTGTTTTTTGGAGGTGTTTATTTCAATTATTATCTGTCATTGGCACTTTATTTCACATTTCAAAAGGCAGGTGTTTACAGCTTGTCTGGTTGGGGAGATTGTTGAGTGTTTGCGATAGCAAATGAAGTGTTTGTTGCTCCTCAGTAATCGATGAGTTCAGATATATTTTGAAAGTGTTTCGGAGTTTTGAGGATGTTAGAATGTTAGATTTAAAATAGGCTTTTGATGTGACGTAAATAAGTATTGGATGTGATGTTTTGTATAGAAAATAAGTTTTTGATGTAATAATGTAAATGAAAATCGGTATTTGATGTGACATTTTGTTTTTTAAAAGTTTATTGTTGATGAATAGGACTAAAAGTGATTTCAAAATATATGTAAAACAAAGCCCTAATCTTGATGATTACTTGAGCTACATCTAAGCACCACGTTCTAAGAAGTTCTATGCACATTCTGTTCAAGGTGACAAAGTACTCGGTGTTATCATTATAATTGCATAACTTCAACGACCATGGAATTTCGTTTACGTAGAAACCTGTGAAAATATCAATTTGGTCTAAAAACCATATTTGGCTTCTGTTCAAAATGTTCCTCTATTATGGCATGATGTATTTCTTGGCATGAAGCACGATCCTTTGGGGACATGAATGGCGTAGTAACATGGTGCAAATTATGGATTTATTGAGTTCCTGTCATATAACCAATTAATACAGGCTAATCCCCTCTTGGATAGTATCAAATGGGACGACAAAGGCTTGGCTGTGGCAATAGCCCAAAATGTTGATACAGGAGATGTGCTAATGCAAGGTTTCGTCAATAGAGAGGCTCTTTTGAGAACCATTTCCTCGAGAAAGGCAACATTCTATAGCAGGTCACGATCAACTTTGTGGACCAAGGGAGAAACCTCATCTAATTTCATCAATATTTGCGATATCTTTCTTGATTGTGATCGTGATTCTGTAAGTATTAAACCTTCCTTCGTAGATCAATGGTTGATGTAACTTTCTCATACTTACGTAGAACAACAAATGTGTACACGTTTCAGATCATTTATCTTGGGAAGCCAGATGGCCCGACTTGTCACACTGGAGAGCAGACGTGCTACTACACCTCGGTCAACGATGTCCTAAACAACCCGCAGGTATCATAAAGGTTCCTTAATTCTCCCATCAACTCATCATTCAAAACCGAAGCTTCCTGTCCTCGCAAAAAGTATATGAGAGTCTTGTTTCTTCTTGCTAGGTCGGTGAAAGTAAACTTGCATTGACGACTCTGTACTCACTAGAACGTACAATTTCCAAACGCAAAGAAGAATTGACGGAAAGCACGGATGCCAAGCCATCCTGGACGAAACGCTTATTGCTTGATGACAAGTTACTCTGCTCAAAAATTAGGTTCGCCTTACTCCATAAATACATGCTACCTTTTCAAATTGAGCTTTTGGCTATTGCCATATTCGAAGCTTGTTATTATAGATGTAAATTTGGCATTTTTTAGAAGAGTAATGAACTGTTTTATCTAAATATTCATAACTTACTGCGCGTAAACTTTGGCGTATCTCTATAGGGAAGAGGCAGATGAGCTGTGCCGGACACTAGAGGAGAATGAGGACCAGTCGAGGACTGCCTCGGAGATGGCTGATGTGCTGTATCATGCTATGGTTTTACTGGCTCGGAGAGGAGTTAAAGTTGAAGATGCTATTGAAATTCTGAGACACAGGTTTTCGCAATCAGGCGTTGAAGAAAAGCATAGCCGTAAATCGAAGGTAAATTAATGCCAGATGATTGTTAAGAGTGGTGAACATCACGTAATATACCGGGGAAACCACCGCAACGTCGAAGGTATCAATGAATTAAAGAATTAATTGAAGAATGAATGATCAAATTACATATGATGATTTTGAATGATCGATGAGAATAGATGATTGATGATAGATTAATTAATTACCTTATTCAAATAAATCATCTGCAAGATACAAAAGGTTATTTGTTATTGGATAAATTATATATCTTATATGGTCCTAACCAACAAACATATGGAAAAACTTATGGAGGAACACATTCCATATATATATATATATATATATATGTAAATACTTACAACTCTCGGAAGCATGATTGCTTAGTAATATGATTTGTCACATATTAACATCATATCACTTGGTCTAAATAAATTTTTATAATAAATGCAAATATGATGAAAGTAAATTATATTAGTTGATTGTAATATCAGTAATATTTGACTTTATTATATTAGTCGATTGTAATATCAGTAATATTTGACTTTATTTATGGTGCAATGCTATTTGTCATTACAGTGTACACCGAATCTTTGAGGCCAAATTCAAGAATATTGAATTGTTGTAGACTTTTATGAAGGCACAGTATTATTATTATTATTATGGAGTACCCTGGAGTCGGTAAAAAGATGCTTATATAAGAAAAAATGTAAGCAAAAAACACAAGATAAAAGAACATAGTATGTAAGTATGATCTTGGATTTGACAGGACTGAAGATATGCTCCTGAAATCAGAAGCCTCTTCCTTCAGATTTTCCTTTCCTTCCCTAAATTCTCGTTCCCAATCACTCCAATTTCTCTCGCTACCTTTCCCGTCATTGCATCGCCAAGTTTGGACTGGGCGGCGATGTTCTACGGCCTCGGTCCAGTTGCCGGACGGCGGGTGGGCTGTTTATCGGGAGCCGAGTTGGCATTCCAGAGGTGCCCAGAGTTACCGATACGGAAGTACATTTAGGTTGGCTTTTTGATTCCTTTTTATTCTCTCAAATTTGGGAATTAGGGTTTAGGTCTCTTGGTTCAATTGTTCTACAATCGTGGAATCGGGTTCGTTTCAATTCAAGCCTATATTTTCCAGTTGTTTCTTTCATGTGATAATTCGTTTCGATTTCCTGGCATTTTTCTGTTGGATCGATAGCTTTGCTTTCGATTTTGGTTGAATCGATATCCCTAGCAATTTGTTGCAAGTTTTGATCTGATGACTTTTATTCACTTGCAGCATGAAAATCATTTTGTTGTTACATAAACTTAATTTTTAGATCCACCATATGAACGAGAAGTTTGTGCAAATTAGCCCATGATACACTCCTCTCTTGATTCAGTACGAGGCATTTATGATATCTAGCATGTCATTCTGACCAATTAGATTAGGATAAATCTCATTTTGTTCTTAATCTTTTGTTTGATCTGACAATGAATTCTTAGAGACCCTATTTGTTATTATATCTAAATGCTATTAAGCTTTCAACTAGGCACTGAATACTAGATTTAGGTTGGCCCTAATGGTTGCGGACCAAAACCACATTTTGGTTGTGACAATTTCTACATGCATTCACCTTGCCTTTGTACTTTTACTCTTACATGTTCCATTATAAAATCTAATTGTTCAGAAAACACAAGCAAACTTCATGTATTCAAATTCATGCTTGTGATAGTTCTTAAAAGCCCCATCCAATGTTTACAGCGATCCAATATGATGATCGATGGGTAAGGGGACCCCTAGAAAACATAGTACTATAGTAGTAGTAGTAACAGCTGTAGGTCATCGAAGTTGATAGTATCCAAGTATGTGTTTTCGTGATCGAACATTTTGTAACATCATATTAACTAGTGGAGGCAAGGATCGAAGGCACTCCTTGATAGATAAAGTAAAAGATAGTCATGAGGCAAAAATATTTGTTAGTGAGAATAGTTATATGGAAAACAAGGATAAAAGGCACTCTCCTAGACATACAATCGAAAGATGAACCATTTTGGATCCAAGCTGATACATCTCACAAACAATATAACAAATCCTCAAAAGCTGTAATGAACACTTCAAAATGTTCAAAAGGAAGCGAACCATTTTGGCTCCAAGGTTTAGCCCTCAACAGGGTATATATACTAAGTAACTAAGTAAAAGTATAGTAACATTTTAGTGAAAGCTTCATGAAGATGCACTTCAAGGATTTTGGTAATCCTTAGAGAACCACAAGAACTGAAGGTTGAACTATGTCTTCTAATACATCCTTCCGGTGCATTGTCTTGAACCGCAATGGCAATCTTTCGCCTTGATCTTTCCATTATGATCACAAACCGAACCTATCTTATAATTGTAATCATAGCAAAGTTCCGTTAGAGGAAGGATGTTCTTCGATGCAAAGAACATAATATGTGGCATTCGCTTGTCACCGTGATCATAAAGAACATCTTGAGCGTACAAGTTAGGGGAGCAACTGTGGTTGATAAATCTCCCGACATTCCCAAACTTGGCACCATCAATAGTAAATCCATCATCACCGCAACCAACTCCAATATCAAATAGATATTCATCATTACCAATTCTTTGTTCGGCTTCCTTGTCTCGTAGCAATTCCCCAATGTATTCGCATATAAATCTTCCGGATGATATGAAACTTTTTGACCTCACACCCCAACCTCGAGTTTTGGTCTTAAATACCTCGAATTGATATTTAGGACCATGTTGGGTGACTCTATTCATACAAGTAGGAGGGCATTTGCAAGATGGGCCACACTCATGCACGATAGGCCTAGCTTTGACAATCATACCGTTCTTGTTGAACGGGATTTCACCTCCATTTTTGGAAACACAAGTGCATGGATGAGAATCCGAGCAACCACCAACACAATCACAACCAATAGGTTGAATGCATTTGTACCAAGAGGAATACATAATGTTGGTTATGTAAGTGTAAGATCGTGGCCGATCATTATCCACACCATTCCTTGCACATATTGGAAACTTCTCTTTCCCGTACGATATATCATTTATAACACAAACTTCATTTGGCATCACTTGTTTCATTGATTTCGCTTTGCCTTGATGAGTTCTCGGTTGGTTTAGTATTCTATGTAATTCAAATTTGAACACATTCTTGCCATATCCATCCCTCTCTTGCCACCATCTATGTATAGTGTATACTCCATCGTAAATATATATGGTATTGTCCGTCTTCTTCATACCCAAAGCCTTCAATTCTTTCCACTTGTCTCTTTTAGTAGTGACTCGTATGGGATATCCAACTTCCATGCTATTTATCAACGCTAGATTGCCCCTCTCAGGTTTTTGATCAACAAGATTATGACTGAAATGCGGATTCCCGCCTTGCCCTGAGTACACCAAAACATCTCTTGATTTGACCTCATTTGTATAGCGCCCCGAATTCACAATACTTGTAGCATAGATTTTCCCGTCAAGCGCAATGTAATCTATGCCCTCCATCAAGTGGCAATGAAGGCCAATGACCGCAAGTTCTGCCCTGAATATGAACACATCACCAACTTCCACCCCGGGTATATGACCAAAAGGTTTGTTAGGAGAAAAACACATTCCCTGATCTTTCAGATATTTGGCTGCATCTTTGTGAGTATGCTTACATTTTTTTCCTTCTTTTCTTTCCTCAGATTTCTTCTCCAACAGCTGATTGTACGTCTCTTCGAACAACTTTAGAACATTCTTCACTGCGTATCCTTGAGGATCATCATGCTTCACAGGAGTTAGATTAATTAGTTCTTCCTGCTTCATGGTGCTTTTAGACACATGAATGTTGGAATAACTTTTAGTATTCTTGACACCTCTTGTGAACTTGGCCAATGACTTGTCTTGGCTATCATCTCCTAAAGAGAAACTTTGAGCTGAAGATATCAAACCATTCTCAGGATGTTGCTTATCATGTTCAGTTCCAGATGATTCTCCCTTCGATAATTCGACTCCTTTAGGTTCTAACATAGCTGAGCTCCGTGCCTTAACTTTCTCCACCTCATTTTCTGGTATGTATCCTAGTGTCAAAGCTTTCTCTACTTGTTTTCCCCGGGGGAACCTAGCCTCAACTTCCACCATTTTTCGCAAAAGACTGCTTTCTAAGCTCGGTGTTGTATTGCATTCAGCAGCAACATTTATGTCTCCCCTTGCTTCTACTCGATTCAGAGTCTTCACCACTGCCAGCTTTGTTTCATTGCTGGAATGACCTTTTTCCAGCTTCCAAGAACTGTTTGAGGGACTTCTTTCAAGTTCTTCAGATTTCCTGTACTTCATGTCAAACAAACTTATAAATTCTTTAGCATCCGCTATCCTGGCATCAAGACGTTCCAGAATTTGAAGTTGATCCTCCCCAAACGTATTTTGGGCACCAATCTCATTGCCATTAGCCAAATTCAATCCCTCACCATCATTTCGTGCAGGATTTATGGTTTCCGAGTGACTTTGCACACTGATCACAGGAACACTTTTCAATGGCACAGCCGATATGGCAGCCACATTCAATGTGTTGTTCCCGTCTTCTCCTCCAGTAGCTTTGGTGGCAGTGTTGGTCACAAAGCTCTTGTGCAGACCTTCTAACTCCTTACGAGTTCCACAATTTGCCGGGAAATCTCGAACTGCTTCAACCTTCCGGCGTTTGAACTTAGGAGGGGATCTTGGAGTGCTACAACTCCCGCTTCCAGACCTATGCTTCCTTGACTCCATGAGAACATTTGATCCGGCCATTAAGGTCGTGATACTTGAGTACAAGATTTACTTCCTCCTATGGCCATCAAAAAATAAATAAATAAAACTCAACACAAATCTAAACAGAATAACAGTAAGTCATTCTAAAGAACTGCAACTCCAACTTTAGAATCAAACATAGAACCCTTCCATGAGGGGAAAAGACATGTGTGGGATTCCCATACCCAGATATGTATTTTGGGGGCTATACTAAATTGAGATTTTATTTAATTTGTTTGTATTTTTAAAATTACATGGATTTGTATGAATCTTCATAGATTTCAAAAAAAAAAAAAAAATAAATTATTATGTATATAATTTGTTACCAAAAACATATATTTCTAACATATATGTGTATATATATATATATATATATATAAATCGGCAGTGCAAATTGGAACATATGGTTTTTGAATAGGAATTGTCCAAATCAAAAACAAAATTGACAAATACAAACCAAAATCATGACTTAAAAAGGTTCAATTCTACTTTACCTTTTGAAAAATCAAAATCGACAATTTTAAACCGCAATTTAAAAAGTTCAAATCTCAATTTGACACTTCAACAAATCAAAACAACAATTTCAAACAGTAAATTGCAATTCAAACTATTTAAACAGTTCTAATTTGTTATTATAAATGTAAATAAATTTTGTTATTATTTATGATATATAAATTTGTATAGGTGTCAATTGCTACGCAAAATAATTCAAATATATTTTTTGTATTATTTCTAATATATAAAAATTTAAAGATGACAATTATTATGTTAACACACAAAATTCCATGTAAGGTTGAATAACTAAAGATTTTTTTAGAACTACTTTAAAATTAGTATACAGTACGAGTGTGTGTATTCATTTTAGACTTTATTGAATTTTAAGAAGTTTGGATTAATCCACATAATCTACTCAAAGTTTGATATTGATTTAAATGGATTTTTATAGCTTATTTAGATTGTTTACTGTTTTAGGTATTTATACCGATTTCATAACATTGTAGAATAATTTTTATTGATTTATATAATTGGTATGAAATTTATATGAAACACATTCATAGATAAAAAAATTCAAATAATTAAATAAAAATACAAAAATTTTAGCATAATTTTATTATGAGTGTATATTTATTATTAAGTTAATAATTTTAATGTAAAATGACAATGAAATAAAAATAAATATGGATAGGAATAATCTCCTATTGCCAAGTAACTGTAAGTTCAAATTTGCTTCCTACAAATTTTAAAACATCTTTAAAAATTTAGATCGAATACATCTGGATTTTAAAAATTCAACATAATAATTCAAAATCATAATTGAATATACCTCTAAAGTATATTTAAAAGATTTTTAAAAATATGAATGAAATATTTCAGTATTTTTAAAGATTATTTCAAATTAAATATCCTCATATTTTGATAATACATTTTATAGTGATTTAATTCCACCTCTCCAAAAAATATAACATCTAAATTCTTGGTTTCGATTTACAAAATTACATACAAAACACATCGAATCACCCAAACCACATACATAAGATAATCCAAGAAATAAAAAGAAACATCGTTCCATACCAAGAAAAAAGGGCACATCTTCCATCTATCAATATCGAAATCAATAATAACTACTCTTAGGTTGTGTTATTTTGTGGGTCTTAACAGAGACTTTTATTATTCATATTTTATTTTCCTTAACAAATATCAAATAAATAATTATATTTTTTTTTATATTATACTACAAATTCATTTTAATCATCTCTATATGACATCAAACAACTATTCAAATTCAAAATTTTTATCATTCATAAATCCAAACCAAACCCCCGGATCGATCCATCGAACTATCCACACTCATGGTCGCAACCAAAACATAAACACAAGCACCAAAAAAAAAAAAAAGAAAGAAAAGGAAAGTGGAATGCGAAAGTAATGAAATTACGAAAGAAACATAATGAGGAAGAAGGACATTAGAAATCAAACCTGGGTTGAACCAAGAATCTCTTTCTTGATTAATAAGTTGTAAGATTTCTTGGGTGTCAAGAAAATTAAATACGAGAGAGAGGGAGGGAGGGAGGCCTATTTATAGATAGGGATTCAAATTCTTGAATCAGTTCATCCTAATCATATCATATCCCAACAGATTAGGGATTCACTTTCACAATTAAATTTTATCTATACCCTTTTATATATTATTATCAATTTGATGATATTATATATAATTTGAAAGTTTGAATTACTAATATATATATATATATATATTTCTAAATTTATTTATCCTTTTATATATTAGTGAATGTGTATATATTTTGTATTTGATTATATTTTCTTTGAATAATTTATTTATTTGTTTTTAAATTTTGTTTTGATTTAGTTGATGAGTACAGGCCTACAGGGATTGTAATATGTTGGAATTTTAGTTTCAAGGGAATTCAAGAAATCAAAGGTTAATAAGTATTTATTTTTAGAAACTGAATATTTGATTTGATTTTTTTTTTTTAATCGAATTTTGGTAAACGAAAAATAGACGAATTAAATGGTAAAATATAATTATTTGTATTACTCTTTTTGTCCGTCAAAACTATGTTATTCTATCTTTTTTAATCTGTCAGCTAAATTTATACACAATCTATGTATAATAAACAATAGATTTTACTACCTACGATATTATTACCTTTAATTTAACAAATAATAATCAATTTGTTACTATTTTTTCTAGTTACTCTTGTTGTCGATCGAAAATCGGGTGAGTTCTCCAACTTCCTATGGAAAAGATGTTGAACTGTTATCGCAAAAATAATAATAAATAAATAAATAAAAAAGGAAAAGAAAGTAAGAAATAAAAGAAAGCAAAAAATAAAAAATAAATAAAAGAAATAAGAAGCAACGGTACAGAAAGAAAAGAAAAAGGAAAAGGAAAGCAATGAAAGAAATAGGAAAGGCATGAAATTGAAAGTAAAATATGATCTATGCTTATGCCCTCTTACAAACTGCTAAACCCATATATATATATATATATATATACTATCTCTAATTCAATCTAATCTAATTTTATTTTCTTCGTATCTTATTATTATTCAAAAATTATTTTACTTCATATACTCCCTCTTTCTACAAACTAATATCCTACTTTCCTATTTGGGGCGTCGAACTATTTTCTTTTTTTAAACACAAATATTACATTTTTACCTTTAATTCATTTATTATTTTTAATCTTTATCATACATTATGGGCAAATTTATCTATTCATTACAAAAAGACAATCACCTAAATAATCGTGCAAATATACTTTAGGACAATAGAAATTGGACGGAGGAAGTATTATTTCGCCTGTGCTCGTCAACTTGGATTTGGGCATTCGCTTGGATTGAAGAATTGTGTTGTTTTTTCTTCCGCTTATTTTCATAAGTACAAATAATATATTTTTTTTTAAGGATAACACTTCTATTATTTTTTCTATCAAATCTTTTAATAATAAATTCATTCTATTTTTTACCTATTTCGTATTAATATTAAAATGTTATTATTTTTAGTTTTTGTAACCACCAAATTATATAAATTAATAGGATAAAAGAAAGTATCATATTTATGATTTTCTAAAATATAATAACACTGTAGTTAAAGATTTCTTAATTTGCGAAGTCTTAATTATGGTAGATTTTTAATTATAGTTATTTATTTTTCTTTGAAGTTATAATTAAGAAAGTTTCTTTTCTAATTAGTTTTGAATAGAAAAAACCTATAAATATTGTCTTTCCCTTGTACCTTTGTTATACAAATTTTCTCTCCAAAAATAAAGTTATCTTTTCGTTTATTTTCTTTCTATCAATTACCTAATTTTATTTTGTTTGATAGATTGATTTTTAAAATTTACATGGAAAGTAAATGTATACTTTAAAAATGGATGAGAGAGCAGTACAAAAAATTTACGATTTACTGTAATTTTGGTGCAAAAATAATTCAAACTATAGTTTTTATTATTAATTGAGTTACGGCCTCTGTCCAGGTGCGGGACAGCGGGTGGCTGTTTCTGAGGTGCCGAAAGTTACCGATGCGGAAGTCGGGTACATTCAGGTTAGCTTTTGATTCTCTCTTTTCTCAAATTAGGGTTTAGGTCTTTTGGTTCAATTGTTCTACAATTGTGAAATTGGGTTCGTTTCAATTCATTCATGTTGATAATTTGTTTCAATTTCCCTGCATTTTCCTGTTGGATTGATATGATTTGAATTCACTTGCAGCAGCATTCTGTTGTTACATAAACTTAATTTTTATACCCACCATGATGTATTCCTATTCTGATTTGTGCAAGGCATTTATGACATCTAGCATATCATTCTGATCAATCAGAATATAATAAATCTCATTTTGATCATGCTTGATCTGACAATGGATTCTTAGAGACCCTATTTGTTTTTACATCTAAATGGTTTAAGCTTCCAACTAGGCACTGAATACTTAGAATTAGGCTGGCCCTAATGGTTCTGGACCAAAACCACATTTTGGTTGTGATAATTTCTACAAGAACTCAACTTGCCTTTGCACTTCTACTCTTACATGTTCCAATGTAAAATCCAATTGTGCAGAAAAGAATGAACAAACTTATGTATTCCTATTCATGCTTGTGATAGTTCTTAAAGGCCCCAAGCAATGTTTATAGCATTCCGATATGATGGTAACAGCTGTAGGTCATTGATACAACAGCTGAACCATTTTGGGTCCAAGCTGATACAAAAGTGCATCTCACAAAAAGTATAGTTACATTTTAGTGCATCCCTTTTGGTCTCCCTCTTTGAAAGCTTCATGATGATGCACTTCAAGGATTTTGGTAATCCTTAGAGAACCACAAGAACTAAGGTAGAAAACTATGACTTCTAATACATCCTTCCGGTGCATTGTCTTGAGCCGCAAAGGCAATCTTTTGCCTTGATCTTTCCGTTATGATCACAAACCGAGTCCTGCTTATAATTGTAATCATAACAAAGTTCTGTTAGAGGAGGGATGTTCTT